AGAAACTTTATACAAACTGTACACTGACATTGTACTTACATTCATGTTACACATATTTTTTAATTTACTACCTTTATGTTCATACATTTGTAATTTTTTCATTACATTCATACATTGGTAACTAGGAACAACAAAGACAATGGAGTAAACACATTATGACGTTAAAATGTAGATACCATTTTTTTATACTTCAGGGATTGTAATTTCTATATAATTTGTCCTGAAGACGCCGATCTAATCGGCGAAACTAGTCGACACAATAAAACTTGCAGTTCACTAAAGTGTTGTTCTCAATCCAGCGGTATTTTATTTATTTATTTTTATTGACAACCCTGCATACCATCGGGTATCCTCTTTAGTGACTCTACCTTCACTTCACCACAAAGGCGTTGGTTCAGCAGCTTCTTATTTTTATCCCGATTTCTGAACCCCTGCATCCACGGATCCGCCTATACCACACAGCGCCGACCACTTGGCCACCATGGAATCGAACGATACCGAAGAATTTCAAGAAGCCAGCAACCAACCGATACCATCAACCTCTGCCGAACTACAAACAAATAAAAGGAAAATAACAAACGAAGAGCAGACAGCAGAATCCACGTAGTACTACAAAGAAGAGCCGCAAAGGATTCGAGAAATAAATGTACGATCATTCCGTGCCTTCAGAAAATTAAATGTTAAATTAGTTAGATGCCAGCAACATCAAAATTATTCATATATATGTAAAAACAGAGATAGCATCCCGAAATTGCCTAGAAATTTTGCGACGGTAAACCACTTTACGGCATTCCCGACGCGATTGGAAGTAGTACCTCTGGCCAAAGGGAAGCCAGTCGAAGTGGTAGAGGTGTGCCCTAAAAGTGTTGTCCAAATTAGGAAGAAACGTTATACAAACTGTACACTGACATTGTACTTACATTCATGTTACACATATTTTTTAATTTACTACCTTTATGTACTTACATTTGTATTTTTTTCATTTCATTCATACATTGGTAACCAGGAACAACAAAGACAATGGAGTAAACACATTATGACGTTAAAATTTAGATACCATTTTTTTATACTTCAGGGATTGTAATTTCTATATAATTTGTCCTGAAGACGCCGATCTAATCGGCGAAACTAGTCGACACAATAAAACTTGCAGTTCACTAAAGTGTTGTTGTCAATCCAGCGGTATTTTATTTATTTATTTTTATTGACAACCCTGCATACCATCGGGTATCCTCTTTAGTGACTCTACCTTCACTTCACCACAAAGGCGTTGGTTCAGCAGCTTCTTATTTTTATCCCGATTTCTGAACCCCTGCATCCACGGATCCGCCTATACCACACAGCGCCGACCACTTGGCCACCATGGAATCGAACGATACCGAAGAATTTCAAGAAGCCAGCAACCAACCGATACCATCAACCTCTGCCGAACTACAAACAAATAAAAGGAAAATAACAAACGAAGAGCAGACAGCAGAATCCACGTAGTACTACAAAGAAGAGCCGCAAAGGATTCGAGAAATAAATGTACGATCATTCCGTGCCTTCAGAAAATTAAATGTTAAATTAGTTAGATGCCAGCAACACCAAAATTATTCATATATATGTAAAAACAGAGATAGCATCCCGAAATTGCCTAGAAATTTTGCGACGGTAAACCACTTTACGGCATTCCCGACGCGATTGGAAGTAGTACCTCTGGCCAAAGGGAAGCCAGTCGAAGTGGTAGAGGTGTGCCCTAAAAGTGTTGTCCAAATTAGGAAGAAACTTTATACAAACTGTACACTGACATTGTACTTACATTCATGTTACACATATTTTTTAATTTACTACCTTTATGTTCATACATTTGTAATTTTTTCATTACATTCATACATTGGTAACTAGGAACAACAAAGACAATGGAGTAAACACATTATGACGTTAAAATGTAGATACCATTTTTTTATACTTCAGGGATTGTAATTTCTATATAATTTGTCCTGAAGACGCCGATCTAATCGGCGAAACTAGTCGACACAATAAAACTTGCAGTTCACTAAAGTGTTGTTGTCAATCCAGCAGTATTTTATTTATTTATTTTTATTGACAACCCTGCATACCATCGGGTATCCTCTTTAGTGACTCTACCTTCACTTCACCACAAAGGGGTTGGTTCAGCAGCTTCTTATTCTCATATAAATATCTGAATAAGTTTATTAAATTTGTATAATAATATTAATAGTTTTTAATAAAAGTAGGGCGAACAGACTCTATGGGCGAACGAACTCAGGGCGAATGGACCCAGGGTGAACATGTTATTATGGCGAACGGACCCGATACCAGAAACGTACATATATGTTGTCCAGGAGAAAATTTAAAGCTTCAATCATATCTTCACATTTCCAGTAAGTGTATCTAGAATACTTTCCTTTTTCGTTACAGAAAAAGGCTTTAAATGAGTTACAGCAAATAAATTTGCAATGAGATTTTTCAAAAGACCATTTATTTAATATGAAAACTTTTTCTTGATAAGATTGTGTGGAAGTGTAGTGTAGAGAGCAGAAAAATCATAACTGACAACAGAATTAAAAGGACCATCAAAATCATGTATTTGATCTAAAACCTCTAATGAATTTTTAACACTCTAAAAATAATTAATACCATTATTTTCATAAGTTTTATTACAAAAGTTAATAAAAAGTTCTTTGAAAGTAGTAAAGGAGGTAGTTAGAAGCACTGATAGATTAGTAGTAGAACACTTACTAGATGCGGAGATGAAATGAAAAGGCCTAATAACTGAAAGGGAGCCCTCTGAAAGATAGAGGAGGAAAAACATGCAGATAACTAGAGAGCGTTACAGGTAGAATCAACATAAAGTGAAGTATATTTTCCTTACATTTAGCAACAGTCCTTTACAACTGCCAATATCTTATGATTTTCATCAAATATCTGTCAAAACCAGATGTAATCATAAACAAAAGGGTTTAAAGGCAACATAAGAAGAAAATTTCAGCCAGTCTTCTCATATCATATTAACATCAATTGTTTATGCAATCGTCACTCATCTTCTTTGATATGCTTAATCTTCACAATAACTGTAAATGGTAAAAGCCCTTTATAAATAGCCCATCATGACCTTGTTGTAGGGTATGAATGATTCGTTCATTGTTGAAGACCCTAAATCAACTGTCAAGATGAAGAACAGGAATAAAAGCCCTGTTCATTGATAATTTTCTATGTTTTCTATGTATTGTGTGCGATTTTGTCCCATGTACATTTACTCCATATTTTTGTAACTAAAGGTTGCAAACTACAAACAACTGGAAAGTTAAAACTGTCAACAATTGTTTCCCAAACCGCACATAGGTCAGGTTAGCACTAATTTCTCAATAGCAACAACATGCAGTTGTTTTTTTTGTTTTTTCTTGTTGTTTTTGTTTTTGTTTTTCATTGGTGGGGGGGGGGGGGGGGGGGGGAAGAAATGGCATCCTTTTTTAACAAATTGGCAAGGGGTTCCTCTGACTTTGGCTAACCCATCAGGTATAGAGGCAAATGGCCAATAATGTTGCCAACTTTAAACTTATTGGCTCCAAAATCATCCTTTCATATATATCTTTTTAAGTTTCATCTCAATCAAGCAATCCAAAAGTGTCTATTCATGGTAACAGTAACCTTGAACCTGTCCTATTGATTCTAAAATAAAAAGGCTTCTTTTCCTTCTCTACATCTTCCATCTGTACAAATTGCATTCCAATCAGGCAGGGGAAACTTGTTTACAATCCCAAAAACCATTTTTCCAAAAAAAGTAAAGTAACAGTGACAGAGGAATAAATTGAAACACTTAAATTTCGAACACTACATATCTTAGTTGCTGTTGTAGGTTATTGAGAGTTTATCTAAAAGGGGTTAGAAATATGCAAGTAAAAAAATATAATGCTATAAAGTCATAATTTGAAAATAAAATAGCTGGTAAAAACTTTAACAAGTTATAGTTAGACATTATAAGGACTAAATATGTCTGCTGACCTTTAATATACAGATAGGATTAATAGCTAAAACAAATGGTATAAATGCCCAACAAAACTGGTTATATGTACAATATATTGAAATATTTTTTCGTCACTATAACAAAAGCTACACTCTTATAACTACATAATAAAATAGATGATTCTTGAATCTTACAATAAACAATAAATTATAAAAATATAAAATATTTGCCTATAAGGTTACTCATAAGAACTGGTATCTTTCCATTTTGCATACTAAAAATTAAGTCCCCCAGCTTACACTAGTATAATCTAAACAGGATGATAATGATTTTATGTAAAAAAAATATATTATCCAAGTTTTAAAAGACTCATCATAGATACCAGATTGTGTACCCCAGCTGAACTTCTTCTACATAAGACTCATCAGTGACCCTGGAATAAAAAAAGTTAAAAAGACCAAATAAAGTACGAAATTGAGGAGCATTGAGGACCTAAAATTCCGAAATTTTTTGCCAAAAACAGTTACAGTAATCTATTCCTGGGGTGGAAAATCCTTAGTACTTTGATAATTCATGTCAAATTAAGTTTATTTCAAAGCCTATATTTAGAGTTTACCCGTAATCCCCAAGATTTACCAAATTTGCTAATTTTGTTCAGTTTTAATGTGAATCATTTGAGTGTCTCTACACATATTCACCTGTAGTTTATAAAACTTGGCATATTAAAAGTTTCTGTATACAGGCTAAAATATTCAACCAAATAGCTCTAATGTAAATAACACTTGATAGATCTTATGGATACCTTCATGAGGAACATTCAAACACAAACATGCTAAGAGGGTGGTAAAGGGTTATTTTCGTGCAACGTGTTTTGCCATTTTTATTTCACGTGCAGCCGTGAAAAAGGTTCGTTATTCACCGTGTTTCGTGAAATCGGTAAAAAGATCAACATGCAAGAAATTTTTTATTTTTCTTTCATCGTGAAATGGCGATTTTATTTCGCGTTCTTCCGTGCAGATACCCCCCCCCCCCCCCCCCCCGTAACGCCCCTCTTTGAAAGCTAAGGATGTATATACATTTTTGTAAATACCTTGATAGGTGGGGAGCTATATCATCAAAATAGAAGGGAGTAAAACGAATCACCAATTCATCTAAGGTAAACTTTACCTTAGGAAGTTGGAACCTTAGTTCCATAATAATTCCTTAATTCATCAACAAATTTATTAATTAAACTAAATCATCTTTACATAGTAAGTGGTTAAAACAATAATGAAATTTTAAATGGAATGTGTGACATCATTGAAACAAAAATAAATTAACATCACCACAATAAGTTACATTTCTTTATGAACTGTTTTTTGGCATTGATCAGTTAAACTGACTTACAGATTAATACATGACTATATATAGCTACTATCAAAACTATATTAATATAGTGTATAAAGATCATAACAGAATTAAAAGCTAAGTTGATGATTTTTTATGATTCCTTCATTCGACCACTTAACATAAATCAATTCCAGTGGCTTATAATTACAAAATGTGCAAATCGTCATACCATAAATTAAGAAATTAATGCCTGCATTTATTATTGTGAATCCTCGACTCTGGCAAAAAATGCAAATTCTAATTATGCGATTACTAAAATTTATTAAGGAGATCAATGCAGAAATTATGAATGGGAGTTTTTTATTATTAGGTACCTGATACTTCAGCATATTTCGAAATTAATAAAAGCATCACAATAACTTCTGAATAAACAGTTGTTTTTGATTCATGCATTTACCTTTCTGAATCAATTATTCACAACATGAAAAATTTTTAACAACTGAAAATAATAATATTTCTATAAATAATTAACATACATTCTTTTCATCTTACCTTATAGATAAAAATATAAATAAAATTAAAATCTTAAAAACATTTACATCTGTTTTCTGAAATAAAAATTTTACAGCAATATGTCTTGGAGACTTACAATATAAAATATACATAATGTTGTGATTTGAGCTGAGAACATCAAAGTTTAATGTGAATAAATTCACAGTTACAACATATAGAAGTAAATCTGATTTAATTGACAAACACCTGACACAAGGATGTGGTGAAACAATTAATATATCTATGTGGGTGTGTATGTGTGTACGTGTATACAAGAATAATGACGCAAGTAAAATGTTGTAAATATTCCCTATCACAAGTCTCACTTGACCTCTCGCTGCATTTTCTACATGAACTTTCATACCATATGAGCCACTGTAAAGCGTTCATATATCAAATTGTTTGATCTTCACATTTTGACACAAATAATGGGTAATTACTAATAAAAAATGAGGAGTAAAAATGACAGCAAACCTAGAATATTTTGTATCATAGGTTGCAGCCAAGGTTTTCCTTAAGCATAAGTGTCAGAACTTCCCCAACATATGTTGACATTGGGGCCTATAATTTACTCTAGTGAAGAAATTTGTTTTACCTATTATTAAGGTTTTTGAAATTGGTCCAATTTAGAACCAATCAGTAGTCTTATTATTTTACATGACAAAGTTGAAATTTAAGGTCATATTTTGCCAAAAGTGAACCTTGTCCTTTGTAAAGAATTGTTTTGACTATTTTAGAATTGTCACATGTTAAGGACATAAGGAGCATTTTCCAATCATCCTAAATGCCTTCTGTACAACCAAAAATTAATAACCAACAGATAAACCTAGTTAAATACAAACAAATATGCATGTTACTTTGCCATAGAAACTACAAGTGGAAACAACTATAACTTGATTTATTATTTGTAAGTACTGAATATATGTCTGGCAACTGATGTATCACAACAGTGTATTATCAAATTTTCTTCAAATTTAGCACAAAGTTTTTATAAAAACATAAATATTATGAAATATCTAACTACATGTAATTATAAGTTATATTAAATGAAAGCTACTTCACTGTGAAAAATAATGAGAAGTTATTTTCTATGTACCATCCACTTGAAAACATAAACAAAATATATATCCAATATACTTGCTATCCTTCCATACACATTTTTGAGGTTATATCTTCCAATTAATCATGGCATTAGCTGCCATGCTGCAAAATGCTGATTTAAAGTTTTTGAAAATATTTCTTAAAATAGCATGAAAGCTACAAAAATGTCATTTATAGAGACTAAAATTTAAACCAATGTCTACAATCAATACATGACACAGACTATAACACAAAGATGGATAGTACTTCAATGAATTCATTAAAATGTATAAGACAAAAATTGATTCATAGAAAATATTAATGAGTATGCTGCTTCATGATATTATGTATTAAATGAATACTGTGGATTCATTACTATTCGTGGGATACCAATTATTGTGGATTTTGTGGGGACAGGTGAGCAACCAATTTTCTATAGGCTTGTATGGCAAATGTATGGAGACTAGGCAACATCTTGAAATCAAATATCCATGAAAATGCTAGTTTTCCTCAATCCACTAAAATTGGTACCCAGAAAAATAAATGAATCCACATTAATATGAGACATCTTAATATTCAATGTTTTGATCTAAGTGTCAACATGGTCAATGTAGAAGCAGTTAAAATGACAAAGAAAACATTTAAAATATCACTTTAAAATAATGTTTCCATAAAAAGCATTCGTTTTCTATTCTTTTCGTAGTCTTTTTTATGGCCCTATTTTCAACTGTTCAAGACTATTAGCTTAGAAACCCATTCAATCTAACTGTACTGGCTATTTAAATATATATTTTAATGTTCAACACTTCTTCTTGTTGTCACCCTTCAACAATAAGACATTTCATAACAAAGTCACTAACAAAACAAGTACATAACTTTAGCTGCCATTTTCATCTGAAACTGGTGAATTCCACCTTTTCACAATACTGTATTTTGACTAGAGTTATTTCCCTTTTCAAGTTGTATCGAGTCGAATCATTCTAAGTTTGAAATTGTCAGCTAAAACACAAGCTGCTTCATTAGATCCACCACAATATCCAGAGGAGGAAAATACAGTTAATAATTTACCCTGTTGCTGTACCTGTAAAAAAAGATTGATTTATGAATAATGTCCAGTGGCAAATATTTCAGGCATATTCAGGAAGAAAACATATTAATGTGATATAAAGATACCCTTCCTTGTATTAGACTGACTTGCTGGGTCAGAATTTTATCCTGCTAGTTCACACAATATAACGGGTCTGCATGAAGGTATGTCACTCTACAATATGCATTAATATCCTTTTCTGCCAAAAATTCTTTGAAACTTACACCTAAAGTTCGTGTGAAGGCTCTGTTTCCTTACACCATACAATGATAAAGTACTTTTTAAAGAACCCCTATTACCCTTGCACTATTCACTTAAGTGACTACCACATTGAAGAGGACTAAATATCTGAAATAACTGAATAAATGTATTTATAAAGGTTACTCGGGAACACGTGTATTTGTTTACTTTTAACACGTGTGTTTAAATCAAAACATGTTTATGTTTAATTTGATTGGACCATCAGTAAGTTATTACCGGTTTAAGTTATATCAATCATGATAACTTCATGCTAGAATTTTAGCGCTAAAATTATAATAAGATATCTAGAATTGTCATTCGAGGTTCGCCTATCCGACAGAAAGGTTCGTTTTCCCACCCACCCACCCCTTTTATTAAGACTTCATAGGAATGTGAATCAGTATGTTATGTAGAAAATAGTTGATAAAATACATGTATGTAAATCGAAATGATTTTTTCTTCAACTTATAGAACATTTTTCTATTGTAGATTGTGTTTATATGTGATGGCAGCGGTCGATGACAGCAAATTGGACATTTGTTTATTGTTTATAATAAAAATAAGCTTTCTGTGCTGTCGGGGCGAGCTGATAACCAAAAACTGTGTTGAGTTTTTACTTTGTAAATGCTTTATGTTCGTTTGAAGTATTGAATAAGAACATAAATAAAAATAATCTACCAATCTACAATGTACAAATAATACATTTTTTTAAAGACTGTCAATTGTTTCCTACTCACAAATTTACACCTTCACTGCTATCCAAATCTTATATGTATGTTTATTAATAATTTTAATATACATATTTCAGATATAAATCTGCTACTTACATGCTTCGATTACTGAAAATTCAGAAATTATTGCAAGGTTTTTATTAATGCAAATAATGCAGTTGGGTGCACGTGAGTATCGCAATAATAAGAAGTCGCATTCAGATATCTGATACATATATCTCTATGAAGATTTTCCTGAAATTGCAATAATTAATCTCACTTTCTTATACATTTTTCAAAATCGCAATAATAAATGCACAAAATAAATTCTGAATTTACAGTACTTCTTTCTAATTTCACAAATTAAAGCTAAATGAAAAATAAGCCAACAATATTGTACATTTTGACATGATTTACCTGAAAACCTGCCTCCTGTACTTCATGTGCCCTGATGACATGTGATAGTCCATTTATATCTAGAAATGACGTTAATGCTTCAATACTAAAGAAATGTGCCGTGCCTCGCCGTGAGTTATACACATAACCTTTCTGTTTCTCTAACTCCTCCTTTAACTCTGGTGTCACTTGCTCTACACTGAAAGTCACAAAAATAAAAATAGTATAAAATTTTGAATTAAAAAGCTAAAATCCTGAAAGTACTGTTGATAGTGAGGATTTTTAAATTCTAAAATAAGACATTGTTCTATGTACGAAAGAAAGTCTAGTTAAATTTGTCTTTTGATTTAATAATTCTGGGGTAAAGTTGTGTATTTCAGTGAATTTTCAAATAGACTGCTAATAATGGTTTCATGCTTCAAAAATTAAATACAATTTGAATATCAATCCTTGCATTCTCATTTTCTACCATTATTTGCCACGTAAATTAAATATACCCGATGCAAAAGCACTCTGAGCACCTCAAAATAAAGAGTGACTGTAAATTCAGAAATTATTGTGAGGTTTTTATTAATGCAAATAATGCGACTGGTTGAGAATTGCAATAATAAGAACTTGCATTCTCATATCTTGTACATACATCTGCATGATGCTTTTCCTGATATCGCAATAACAATCTCACATTTCTGTCCATTCTTCATAAATCACAATAATAAATGCATGCAATAATTTCTGAATTTATGGTATTTCAAAATATGATATTTTTCTCAGAATGTGAACACTAAAAACAGTTTCAAAAGAAATTTAATTTTCAAAGCAAATTTTCATGGTTACAACTACACAATGATAGAATCATGATTAAGGTATAAAACACAATATAAACCTGATTGGATCACTCCACATTATTTCCCAAGCTAGTGGACTTTCTATTTCTGGATCTCTGAGTGGACATGGAACTTTGTTGATGTTTTCTATCAAACAACTTTCTGATTCAGGCCCTGGTATACCTCCATGTACACAAAAAATCTACAATGTTCATTGGTTAGTTATAACTACTGTGTTATTGTAAGGTTTAGATAACAAGTTTAACAATAAGCCCTTATAACAATTTATATAGAATAATACATGGTAAAATCAGCATCACATTTATTAATCACTATCAAATATTTAAACAGGGGACTTTAGTTTTTTTTTCCAATTGGAACTCTCCCTCCAAAAATGATATTGGTTGATGGTTGGTATAGCATTCAATATGGATTTGACATGGATTGCTCATCTTAATGTTAAAACAACAATCAAAAATGTACTTGAAACTATTGATTATTCAACTTTTGACAGAACATTCGTTTATTCTATTGTCTAATTGTAAAATGTCTTCCAGTATGTTAATGGTTTTTTTTCTTACATTTCCACCATCAAGGACTGCGGCTTAACATGGACAACATTGTCGTCTGCTGAAATTTCAAGCGGATAACAACTGAGGAAGTCGGAAAACAGTCTTGAGATGTTAGAATATTAGTTTTGAAATATTGTTGTAAGTTTTCAACGTTTGTTTTACTGTGGTTTTAACTCTCTTCAGTGCTTCAATTTAAACACAATCTTGTTTCTTCTATAAAAAATAATATATATTCTTCAACCCTTTTATCTAGAACTGTGTGCATAGGTGTGAGAGTTATAAATATAACAATATAATTACATATCCCTATTCCTCTCTCACTTTTATTTGTACAAGAATGTTTTACTGATTGATTAACTGTGTGTATGTAATATTAAATACCAGTGGCCATCTTGGATTTTGTGTTGGTATAAAATATACCAAATTCATATATATCACTCTGATCTGACAGCCATACTTTATATACATTAAGAGAAATGAGAAATATTGAAAATGTTATCTTGCTTTAATACATAAAAATAATCTAACACTCTATGATGAATTGTGGTATTATTTCAAGAAAAATAAATGAAAAAAAATATTTAATGCTACAGAACAAAGCAATATTAAATACTGTACCTACCCTGTCATCAACAGTAGCTGCTATTGGCATACAATCAAAGCATTCATTTAAACAGTCGACCTACCCTGTCATCTACAGTAGCTGCTATTGGCATACAATCAAAGGATTCATTTTAATAGTCTACCTATCCTATCATCTACAGTAGTTTCTTTTGGCATACAATCAAAGCATTCATTTAAATAGTCTACCTACCCTATCATCTACAGTAGCTGCTTTTGGCATACAATCAAAGCATTCATTTATATAGTCTACCTACCCTGTCATCTACAGTTGCTGCTATTGGCATACAATCAAAGCATTCATTTATATAGTCTACCTACCCTGTCATCTACAGTAGCTGCTATTGGCATACAATCAAAGCATTCATTTATATAGTCTACCTACCCTATCATCTACAGTAGCTGCTTTTGGCATACAATCAAAGCATTCATTTATATAGTCTACCTACCCTGTCATCTACAGTAGCTGCTATTGGCATAAAATCAAAGCATTCATTGACATAGTCTACCTACCCTGTCATCTACAGTAGCTGCTATTGGCATGCAATCAAAGCATTCATTGACAGCGTCCCAGATCTGAAGACCAATACTATCTCCAAATTTAGAAATGCACTCACTGTAAAGAAATTAAGACATAACCAGTTTGAATTATGATAAGAACTTCAGCACAATTTCAGTTTTCCTTTCACACTTCATACATGTACTGTAAATTTAGAAATTATTGCGTGCATTTATTATTGTAATTTTGAAATGAGAAACCAATATTAGAAATTAATTATTTCCATTTTAGAAAAAGCTGCATACAGATATATGTATCAGCTATCAGAATGAAAGTTCTTGTCATTAAATATTGCAATATTCACCCACTTTTCACATTAATAAAAACCTTACAAAAAATTCTGAATTTAGAGTATCTTTAAACATGCTAAGGACAAGGTATGGTAAGCACAAGTTCATTCTTTTACATGTATATTTTCCAATCTGTTTAACTTTGCTATATTAGCTTTACAAAAACTTCATAGACATTGTTGGTGGTTGGTGTTCAGGTATCTAATTTTTTTGTTTATGGATCCCAATCAGGGCTTCCAAAATTTCCTGACGACAGCCGGACATTTTTCAAAGAAATATTTTTGACGGTCAATGATCAGCTGGATACTTAAATGTAACTGAGAGGATGCATAAATTGATATATGTGTCTAAATAATTAGTAGTGTTATATGCAATAAAATTATTTATAACTGTTTTGTTTACTTCATTCTAAAAATAAATAAAATATTATCCTCGGTATTGTGTCATTTTTCTGTGTATCGTAATACAGTAACCATCATTGCATCAATCAGCTTCAGTACCTGACTGTTCTCATGTTTTTGTTTCTGTTTATATAATCTATCTTCTCTCTGTGAGTACTTAACACTTTGTAAATTAAGGCCATCTTATTTGAAAATGTTGATGTTGGCTTTAATTGCAGTACAACTTGATCATCAATACACGTGATACTTTTCTTTTTGTGTATTGATTACCTGACCACGTGACTTTTACAACTGATGCGGTATTTATAGATAACATTGAGGAGGCCCAATGAAGGATATTGTTTAAAACCGTGTAAAATCTACTGAACAGTGATAACATTTTTCTTTGTACAATTTCCCAACCTGATTTAGAAAATAAGGAATAAATAAAAACATACTCAGTTGATAAATAATTTAATGAATAACAACATGATATTTTATGTAAGCATATAACAACAATAAAATATCAGAAGAGCACAATGTTGACAAACACACGCAATAAATATTACAATGAGCACATTGAAAAGAAGCACAGATCACAGCACAAGATTAGAGTTCATTTAGTTTAATTTAAGATTTTACATTCATGAGCTTGCTAAATGCATTGTTCTGATAAACATGGCGGTTACGAACGGATTGCCATTTGCGGATAGCAGGAACAGGGTCAAAGTCTTTAACATCTACACCTATTAAGCTTATCCTCATAAGTTGATCTAAAGCGTCAATACCTAGACTACACCTTAGTTTTGTCTTGATAATGTTCTGCCTTGAAAAACCCCTTTCACATTTAACACTAGAAACCGGCAAAACACGTGAAATTTCCAGTAGCGAAATTGTATTTGGGAACTGGTCTTTTCTTGAAATAATTGCAGTCAACAGATCGGCAAACGAAAGTCCCTTGTAGTTGTTGAAGATCAAATACTTAAGTATGCCCCATTCTATTTGTAGTTCTTCTTGGTTGACAATACTATAATGGTCTCAGAGACACTCTAACTGTTGTTCACCGTAGCGAGGAAGGTCGTCAACACTACAAGGAAAGTTCGACGGTTCAAATACAGAGAATGCTTCGAAAATTTTATTGTCTGGAAATCGGTCACGAATTTGGCAGATTTGTAAAGTTCAATTTGAGACAAAGTCTTTATAACAGTCGGAGATTGTCATGATTGGATATTATTCTTTATGATTTTAATTATAAAAACAGTTTTTAATATGAAAACAAGAATAGAGAACGCCCCCCTTATTTATTGGACAACTCAGCTTGGTATACCCAAGCGAAGCAATTCTCGGTGTTTTTCATATATATTTTAGTAAATTTTCCCCTTGAGAGTACCCCAGTATTTGACACAATGTACAGTGTTAAATAAAATAATATATATCATAATTATTCATTTATAAATATCCTTATTTGAAGAATAACTTTTAAATATCAGGATACTTTTTTAAACTGAATGCTCATTTAAAATAATATCTATAAAGCGTAATTAAATAGGATGTTGATCCATTCACGCTTACATGTTTGACCTCGTTTACCTGATTACCTTTATGTACATTGTTATGCATCATTAATTCTATTGATAAAGACAAGCTAAGGACACCTCATCAAAGGTAACAAACCTGTAATCAGTGAATGATTTATGGCTTCAATATAACTTATTGAAGGGATAATTGTTTGACAGCTTGTTGTTATTAAATAAAAGAAAACGTGTTTTTTCTACTTTTTATTGATGTACACTAGCTAAAGACCAAGCCGTACATTTATGTACCCAGAGGATTAGACTAACTAAGACACTTCAAAGTATCTGAAATATGCTGCTTCTATTTTATTAAACCCAATTATGACCGAAATATCTTTGTGAAATAGATTGCCACAATTATAAACTAAAATGCCCAAACGGACATGCCCAAAGCCCCAAACGGACATTTTTATCGATCGATAGTTGGTAAAAATTGAAATGACCGTTTCATGAAAATGCCTTGAATAACAAAATGTGGCACACCAATTCTATTTGACCGTTTGAGGCTGAGAGCAGTTTTCTTTTTATGAAAGTTTCGGTCAAGTCCGGAATATATGACCGTTTTGGAAGCCCTGATCCCAATATTTGTTTATAAGAGTTATCAAATGCATCACAAGTGACATGTCAAAATAAATAAATACTGCCATTAATTTTTCATAATTGGAATTGAAAATTTACTTTTATTGTTATTTCATAAACTAATCTCGAGTTGTTTTTTATGAATGAGTTACAGTGGTTGACCCGGGGTCAATCGGCTTAAATGACATCATCGTACAATTGGTTCTTACTGTGACGTAATAACATACTCATTGTGACATGTGGAAATTACGGGAAAATGCACAAATTAGAAAGTCGTCTATTAAATAATGCACCTTTTAATCCTTTTTGCAAACTATACTTACGTTTTAAAAGAAAACATTTCCTGAACACTTCTGAGTTCATGGTTACCTCTTAGAAGTACAAACTTTTCTGGTGCTAACAGTTTTTCAGCAAATAAATAGGAAATCACCTGAATTGTAAATAACCTTAATGAAAGAATATTTTGGAATTTCTTCATCTCAAACACTAATAAAGGAAGAAATTTAAGGAGGCTTGCTTCTGTAATTCAAAAGCATAAAAAACAATCTTTTTCAAGGAAGAAAGTATAATAAATGAACATTTTGGTGAAAAATAAATAGATCTGTTCTTTTTTTTTTTAGCATTAAGTATTCATAAACTAAATTTTTTTGGAAGGAAAAAAGGATGTCTCTGAATTTTTTATTTGAGATGTATGTCAAGAAATGAATGTAAACTAAATCAAAAATGTATTAGAAATAAAAATATTGAAATATCTGGTCATAAAATTCATTTTTACCTCAACCCCATATTCTCCTCTATCTACATAATCACCAAGGAATAAGAAAGATGCTGGTGTCAACATAGGCCCCATTCTCCACAGGGCTTTCTCAAAACACACTAAATCTCTGTAGTTACCATGAATATCACCTGAAGCAAAGGAATGTTGAAACTAAGCCAATCATTTTTTTAATGTAACCCTTAAGTGAGGAATTAATATTGATTGCATTCTTTCATATCCTATTCTCAAGGAAATGTATGAAAACCCTTAATTGCCAAAAATTATACTTCTTTTCATGATTTTACCCAAGACATTCACACAGTTAAGAATATATAAATCCTTTCTGTACATGTGCTATTACTTCTGAAATATTATGCAGCTGCTGTTTTTTAAAGCAACTTTTATACCTATGCAATAAGCTTTGTTTGTTATTTACAACCAAGCATGGCTTTATCTATGAAAAAGGAGATTAAGGTTTTTTGCCATGAGACAGGAAAACTGATGGACACATTTTTGTATTCTACAATATATTGTGTTCCGTAACTGCATAATACATATATTGTATCAAAAACTCCTTAACTGAATCAAAAAAGATTAAAAAGTATAAACTACACATAAATATGGTACCTAAAATATAAACAGGAGCAGTAAGTTTGACAAGCCTTGGTTCATCAGATAAGATTTCTTTGGTCTGTCGACATAACGTTAGAAGGCATTTAGCCAAAGCATTCTTTTCCACTTGACCCCAGTCAAAAGCTTGCTGCAAAACAGAAAAATAACAGATTACTGACAATACACATTATTACTTTGTTGTTAGCATTATAAATATAACTTTGTATCACTTAAAGAAGTTTAGATTTTCTTACATTGGTTGCTATGAAATACTGATTTACAAGTCAAATAAAAATTGATATTTCACATGTAAAATAAATCCGGAAATTTCACACTTCTGACATCATACAACAAAAAGGGTCTTAATAAAACATATGTGTGTTTCCAGTTACCCAACCAATCTCACTTTCAGTCGCAATCTCAAACATTTTATTGAGGTCTGATCGAAAAAAAAACTAAATCCAGAATTTATCCTTTAAATTACATAAATTTCCAATTTGACCATTTATCATTTTTCAGAAAAACAAGAAAATAATTCTTCAAAATAAAATGTTTTTCCTACATACCTACCCATTGTCATTGTGGGCATGTACTAGGAAACACACATATATGTAACGGATTTCATGTGGCTAACATAACCAATCTAGTAAAAGTTAATAAATTTATTATTGGCACCAGACGTATTCAATATAACGCAATAAACACCCAACATTATGGATTTTAGGCTCACTGACAAATCATACTTGTCAGTCAAAGATGTGCATTCACTGATATTTCCAACTATAACAACCACATGTCTTTGGACAAATCTTCAATACAAAAAGAACATCCAACCCCATCAACTTTCAGCAGCGAACTAACTAGATAACTATCTACCCGTAAAAGGAAAACCATAATCAAGAATGCATGACTAGCGGGAAATCTACCCAGACTAACCTCATTTGAATAATAATGTAAGGATAATTCACATTATATATAGAAACCAGTTTCTATACAATAAATTCTAACACTTTAATTAAATAATTCAATCAATTTATTTAAAGATTTAACTGCTATCTTTTTATTATTTATTTTCTGATTAACTTCTGATTATTTTTACAGCAATGGTTTCACAATAATTATTTTGATTTTTTTAGTAACTTTTGTTTCATAAAATAAAACACATATATAAAATTAAATTTACAAACATGACAAGACCACTAAAAATGTCACTATTACATATATTTTATTTTGGCCTAGAGGTTGTCAAAGAAGTGAGAACACAAAGAAAAGGATATAGTTCCTAGCATTTCTACTAAATTTACATTGAAAGCCAATTTAATGAAAGTCATAACTACTCCAAAAAATCAAATATAAAAAAAATATTAAACTTGTGACTGAACAGCACTGATTAATAACTCATTGGCTAAGAACATTGAATTTCATAAATTAAGGAGTTGTTCTTTCACCAGTTGAATTTTTTTACACATTTGAATTCTTGGATAGTTATTCTATAATCAATTGTGGCAGAATAAACTCACAACAGTAAGATATATCCACTCTCTTAGAAATAAAGAACCAAAGCATACACAATAGTCTTTGTATTTTGAGGGCTGGGCAAATCCATTATGTAATTTGTTAAGAACTATATCGTTCATATTTTTGTCATCAATCATTTTCATGATTAATTTAACATCTGATATTCCTATTATTAATCTTTTCAATCACCAAAAGATCAGAGAAACTTTAAATCAACTTAAGAATAAAGAAAACAATATCATCTTCGTCATCTCAAAATGAAAGACAAAACAATTACAATGACATAAAATGTCAGTTACAGTGATGTGTGTCGATTGGTTAAAAATATCACCTTGGCAGGACTTCCATTATCTCCCTTTAAAGCTCTTTCAAAATATCTCAGTCCAGTCAACATTTCATTTGGATGTGACCTCTGTCAAATATAAATATACAAATACAGAGATAAACTATTGAAAGTACTAAATAACTACAAAATGTAATATGTGGTGTTAAAATTGTTCACATTGTTTACATACAAAATTAATTGTCCATAATTATGATTGATCGATGATTGCTTTAACTTTGTGCTGGCGCAAAAAGACTTTCACTCAACGAGAGCACCTTACTGTCCAAATGTAGATGAACGAGAGCACCTTACTGTCCAAATGTAGATGAACGAGAGCACCTTACTGTCCAAATGTAGATGAACGAGAGCACCTTACTGTCCAAATGTAGATGAACGAGAGCACCTTACTGTCCAAATGTAGATGATGATGATGATTTAAAAAATATAAAAATTAGACTGACAACAGCTTACACTCTATGAGATTACTATCAGCATCAAATATAGGGCAATTAACAGCTAGTAATGGTTGATACATATTTATAGTGCATGAATGTCCCACACTTAATGTTGTTATTTTGTTAATCTGTAGTTACAATAAATATGAGTAAAAACTGTCCTGAACCTTCTTTCATTCTAATGTTATAACTATTTAACAACAAAAATAAAGATGATGACATCATAATGATGAAATTACTATTGTGAATTTTTTGGTTTGTGCTTCTTTTGAGCTAAGCATATATAATTCGTTAACTTAATTGCAACCTCATACTGACAGTTCAGTTATAATGACAATCACAGTCTTCCATATATATTTACATGTTATACACACCTGGTTAAATGAGTCTATTGATCCCATCCTCTGAAATCTGTTGATGTCACCCTCCAGATGACTGAAGGCACTACCAGATACTGCTGTTGTACCTACAAAATGTTAATGTTCTTCTGTGGTTTAATAGCAAAAGATTATAACTAAAAACAAGAATGTGTCCATAGTACACGGATGCCCCACTAGCACTATCATTTTCTATGTTCAGTGAACCGTGAAATTGGGGTCAAAACTCTCATTTGGCATTAAAATTAGAAATATCATATCATAGGGAACATGTGTACTAAGTTTCAAGTTGATTGGACTTCAACTTCATCAAAAACTACCTTGACCAAAAACTTTAACCTGAAGCAGGACAGACAGACGAACAGACGGAAGAATGAACGAACAGATGAACGAACTGACGCACAGACCGAAAAACATAATGCCCCTAAGTGGGGCATAATAACTGTCAGCACAGCAGGGAAATTCAGATATTTGCCTTTCAGTTTAGGTCATGTCTGACAAATACGACCATTGACAGACCCTTGAATTCATGACTATACATTCCTACTTATCTATAGCAAGGTACTCTGTGGAAGATGCTTTTAAAATTTTCCACAAGCCAGGATGCTGTTTGGAATTTCTAAGGAGAATACTATTTAATTAAATGATGTCTATTGTCAAATGTAATGCTATGTTCCATAGACATGTGATAAGAAGTAAAGACAGCAGTTCCCATTATTTTTTCAGCCAGTCTACAATTATCAGTAAAAGTATGATACAAATAAAGAAAAAAATTCAATCCTCACGTTTTATGAGAAAAGAACTACTGTTTCTTCAATGTTTAAAATTTTACCTTGTAAATCCCATAACTTAACTACATCAGCCAGTACACCTGTTCTTCTCACTTTGATGGTATGTGTAGCTAATTCATATCTAGGTAATTGGGGATGTTTGGCTGATAATGGTCTAACATCAGGTAGCTTAAATAATTCACCATCTGTATCTGAAATTTAAGACGTAAAAAGGTTTCATCAGTATGATATATGTCAGGCCATAATTTTGCCGGCGAAATGACGATTTAAGTTGCCAAAAAATTTTGAAAATCGCTAAACCTAATATAATATATGTAATTATATCAGAACATAAAGAGCCTTAAATTCAAAAGTTGTTGTTGGTTCATGTCTGTCATATTTGTTTTTCATAAATTGTATTGAATAAATTAGGCCATTAGTTTTCTAGTTAGAGTTTTTTCATATTTTTCATGTCAGTGCCTTTTATAGCTGACAATACGGTAAGGGTTTTTGACATTGTTGAAGACCGTAGGTTGACCTATAATTGCTTTTTATCTTCATCATTTGAACTCTGGTGGATAGTTGTCTCATTGGCAATCATACCACATCTCCTCATATTTATATCAATGTAATATTTTCATTTCATTAATCCTGTGATTCTGTATTGAATGTTTTCAGAAGAAATTTACTATGCGAGTTCACAGCTGTGCACCATAATTCAGACTCGAATCATAGCAGAATGATAAACTGTACCAAAGCTACTTAACTTCGAGGTTGTGGCCCTGAACCAGCATGTGTAAACATTTTGGTGTCATTCAGGAATTTAGAGTTACAAGAGATACTACCTTCTTCATTCAAGATTTGATAAAATGATATCAATTATCGAACCCTTCTCAAATCTAGATCCTTATGAACTTGTCCAATGTGAATTATCAATCCTAGCATTGTTGCAACTGTTTTCAATCTTTTTATAAGCTGTGTTGCTTTATTTCACAATGTTTCATAGACAGCAATAATATTCTGTATGGTTTTGACATTCAAACATTGAATATCTACGACATCCATGTACATTTTAAGTACTACAAAATGTATTGTTTGTGCAGTTTTTTAATGTTTTTGCTTTATTTTACCATTAACCACTACTTTGAATCATTATATCAAACAAAACACAATTATCCAGGTACCAAACCAAGAACTGACATTTTTTTATAAACCACTATCAACCAATGATTTCCCACAAAATGACAAGACAATTGTATTTCCACAATAAATCAGAAATTTTCAATGACTAAATTAATCTGACAATAATTCATCATTTTTATTTCATCAGCTCATGCAATTTAACTCAATATGTAATAAAATAGGAAAATTCATTTCATGCATGTACATGAAAAATATTTTAAAAGGCTAATGCTGTTATGTAATCTAAAACTAAAATTAATGAAATGCTCTGTGGGGTGCAGCTTTATTTATACGACTGCAGATGTCAGTTGGGGCAAGTATTGACACTAAATTCAAGCTTGATACAGTTCTGAATTTGGATTGTGATTAAATATTTGACACAACATAGATTTCTGGCACAGAATGAATGTGGTCAAAGAACTAAAAAAATTGAAATTGGACTTTTACCTTTTATGGTCTTATGTCCAAAATCTAAGTACACTGTTAGATTCAGCATATTCAAGTACACCTTTTTGTTCTCGTTCTGAACATGCATGAAATATTTGCCACTGGATGTTAAACAAACAACAATCATCAATCAATCCAAGTACACCAAGAATTTAATATATTTATTTATTAATAGACAATGTTAGCTAAGTTTTTAAAATGCTCCATAAAGGAATTTAGTTTAAGCTGTAATTGGTAGGAAACCTTTTATTACATTAATTAATAATTGTTTGGTGTTTTAATATTGCTACAAGTGGGGTAAAGATGGATGTGTATGGTAGTTGAGATTTTTTTGTCATCAGGTAATGATTGAAGTTTTTAAACATATTGTACCTTTCAGTGATTAGAAAGGGGAGGACATTCATTTTTCTTGATATTGTTAAACTGTTAGCATTTAGAAATTGATATTGATAATTTAGCAATTTAAGGAATGAATGATGTAGTGGAAATGAACACAGAATATAATTATATCTAAGTTAAAAGGATAATAGAATTATATTATAATCAGCATGCATAATGACCTGAAGATTTTTTTAATTTTTTTGCAAACTAGGATAATAATATGGGATAAAATTGTGGCATGAAATTGGGCATGAATTTGTAATTGTGGTTTATGGGATTGTAATTCTAAGTAATTGGGATGTTATCTTAATCAAATTTGTGAATTTGTGGTTAGAATTGTTCTGAAAAGTGATATCAAAAGGTGACATAAATGTTGTGTGTTTTAGAGAGGATGATCATTAAATTGTGGTTTGAGTTATTTCCCTTTGAATAGAAATGTCAATATGGAGGGAAATTGTCTCCAGAATCAGCATATTGAAATCAATCAAAGTTTAATTTTGCACCCTTATTTGGATTCACTTGAAAACACAGCCCAAAATCAAAATTCTAAATACATGGTAAGATTAAGCATATCAATAAAACCCAAATATTTTAACCATTGAAATTGGTCAGAAATAAGCAATTCAAACATAGTTTAAGCAATTGCTTGTTTTTTACCCCTTTCTGGTCCTAATTCCTAAGCGGATACAGACTTAACCCCCAAAATTCAATCCAACCTTCCTTTTGAGGTATGGAACCTTGTGGTACAATTTCATACAAAGCCACACACTTATACTCAAGTTATTGTCAGGAAACCTGAAAAATCTTTGCTTTTGTCCCCTTTTTGGTCCAAAATTCTTAAATGGTTAGGGCCATAACCCCTAAAATCAATGCCAACCTTCCTTTTGTGGTATGGAACCGTGTGGTACAATTTCATAGAGATCCATTCACTCATACTCAAGTTATTGTCTGGAAACCAAATGTTTTTGGAAGAGGATGATGACAACATCACCATACCATTATACGGATGCAAATTTCCCAGAGAGGATATTCATTTTTGAGACCTCAATATGTGCATATATTTGTCAATTTCAACTGATTTATATGTTATTTTACAACCAGCATTTCTATTACAAGGCATTTAAACTAGAGGCTCTCAAGAGCCTGTGTCGCTCACCTGACTCTACTTTGGTTTTAGATATCACGTAAAGATAGATAAAAATCATAACAGATACCAAAATAATGATTGAGGCCAAATTTGGTTTAATATTGGTCCCGTTATTTAATAAAATATCCTGGTGGCCATCTTGAACAGTAAATCGGCAACAAAGTAGCTTCACTTGGTCAGCACTTCATAAGGAACATTCATGCCATGTTTGGTTTCATTCCATTCAGTGGTACTATAAAAGAAGACATTTGTATGTATTTCCCATAGGGTCCTATGTTAAACTAAGCCCCCCCCCCCCCTAGCGGCCATCTTGGATGATGGATCGACTGCAAAGTAACAACACTTGGTCAGCAACTCATAAGGAACATTCATGCATTCATGCCATGTTTGGTTCAATTCCATTCAGTGGTTCTCTAAAAGAAGACAATTGTATGTATTTCCCATAGGGTCCTATGTTAAACTAAGTCCCCCGCGTTCGGCCATCTTGGATGATGGATCGGCTGCAAAGTAACAACACTTGGTCAACATCTCATAAGGAACATTCATGCCATGTTTGGTTCCATTCCATTTATTGGTTCTCTAAAAGAAGACATTTTTATGTATTTCCCAAAGGGTCCTATGTAAAACTAAGTCCCCCGCTGGCGGCCATCTTGGATGATGGATCGGCTACAAAGTAACAACACTTGGTCAGCACCTCATAAGGAACATTCATGCCATGTTTGGTTTCATTCCATTCAGTGGTTCTCTAGAAGAAGTTCAAAATGTAAAAAGTTAACGCCGACAACGGACGACGGACGACGGACGCCAAGTGATGAGAAAAGCTCACTTGGCCCTTTGGGCCAGGTGAGCTAAAAAAGGTTGTTTAATCTGCAAATTGTAATCCTGGATCATTGCATACCTTAACAAAGATTTCCCTATATCTAAATGTAACTTCAGGTTCAAAGTTTACAAATTATTTTTTTTTAAACATGTATCATGCAATTCCAAAAATACAATAAAGTATATATCATTCAGCTTGTAACACCAATGGTTGTGATAAATTCCCATGTTTTGTTTTCAAATTTAAAAGAAACTAGAGGCTCTAAAGAGCCTGTGTCGCTCACCTTGGTCTATGTGCATATCAAACAAAGGACACAGATGGATTCATGACAAGATTGTGTTTCGGTGATGGTGATGTGTTTGTAGATCTTACTTTACTGAACATTCTTGCTCCTTACTATTATCTCTATCTATAATGAACTTGGCCCAGTAGTTACAGTGGAAAATATTATGTAAAAATTTACAAAAATTTACAAAATTTATGAAAATTGTAAAAAATTGACTATAAAGGGCAATAACTCCTTAAGGGGACAATTGACAATTTTGATCATGTTGACTTATTTGTAGATCTTACTTTGCTGAACATTATTGCTGTTTACAGTTTATCTCTATCTATAATAATATTCAAGATAATAACCAAAAACTGCAAAATTTTCTTAAAATTACCAAATCAGGGGCAGCAACCCAACAATGGCTTGTCCGATTCATCTGAAAATTTCAGGGCAGATAGATCTTGACCTGATAAACAATTTTACCCCATGTCAGATTTGCTCTAAATGCTTTGGTTTCAGATATATAGGCCAAAATCTACATTTTACCCCTATGTTCTATTTTTAGCCATGGCGGCCATCTTGGTTGGTTGGCCGGGTCACTGGACACATCTTTTAAACTAGATACCCCAATGATGATTGTGGCCAAGTTTGGTTAAATTTGGCCAAGTAGTTTCAGAGGAGAAGATTTTTGTAAAAGATTACAAAAATTTACGAAAAATGGTTAAAAATTGACTATAAAGGGCAATAACTCCTTAAGGGGTCAAATAACCATTTTGGTTATGACAACTTATTTGTAGATCTTACTTTGCTGAACATTATTGCTGTTTACAGTTTATCTCTATCTATAATAATATTCAAGATAATAACCAAAAACTGCAAAATTTCCTTAAAATTACCAATTCAGGGGCAGCAACCCAACAAAGGGTTGTCCGATTCATCTGAAAATTTCAGGGCAGATAGATCTTGACCTGATAATCAATTTTACCCCATGTCAGATTTGCTCTAAATGCTTTGGTTTCCGATATATAAGCCAAAATCTACATTTTACCCCTATGTTCTATTTTTAGCCATGGCAGCCATCTTGGTTGGTTGGCCGGGTCACTGGACACATTTTTTAAACTAGATACCCCAATGATGATTGTGGCCAAGTTTGTTTAAATTTGGCCAAGTAGTTTCAGAGGAGAAGATTTTTGTAAAAGATTACAAAAATTTACGAAAAATGGTTAAAAATTGACTATAAAGGGCAATAACTCCTTAAGGGGTCAAATAACCATTTTGGTCATGTTGACTTATTTGTAGATCTTACTTTGCTGAACATTATTGCTTTTTACAGTTTATCTCTATCTATAATAATATTCAAGATAATAACCAAAAACTGCAAAATTTCCTTAAAATTACCAATTCAGGGGCAGCAACCCAACAACGGGTTGTCCGATTCATCTGAAAATGTCAGGGCAGAACTTTCTTGACCTGATAAACAATTTTACCCCATGTCAGATTTGCTCTAAATGCTTTGGTTTCAGAGATATAAGCCAAAATCTACATTTTACCCCTATGTTCTATTTTTAGCCATGGCGGCCATCTTGGTTGGTTGACCAGATCACCGGACACATTTTTTAAACTAGATACCCCAATGATGATTGTGACCAAGTTTGGTTAAATTTGACCCAGTAGTTTCAGAGGAAAAGATTTTTGTAAAAGTTAACAAACGACGCCGGACGACGACGACGGACGAAAGTGATGAGAAAAGCTCACTTGGCCCTTTGGGCCAAAGGGCCAGGTGAGCTAAAAATGTGTTCACAGTACTTATTTTCTTGCTACATAACAAAATTGATAAAAGCTAATTATCAATCTATTTCAAAATTGAACTGTCTTCAAACAAGATAGACAGATTATGTCCAAAATAAATATATATCATGAATAAAAGTCTTTACTCTATCATTAATTTGCAAAAAATTAGAAGTGTTTCACCTATCGGTGTACTTCATATAAAACATGTTTTTTTTAAAACATTGTCAAAAGCTAATTTAAGGTCTGATTTTGATGAAATTTTAAATGATAAACTCATAAATACATTTTTTTTTTTCTGGTTATTATGAAATATATTTAGGATATTTAATTACTGAGAAATCCTTATTTGTATAAAAATATTGAAATGAAGTGTCATTTACTCCTATAAATCCATATGATTTTTTTCATGATGAAATTAATAGATATCTTTAAACAGTGATTTCCATAAAAGTATACATTATAAATATATATTTCATAATATTGCAAGAAACTGTAGACATTTCTGTATTTAGTGAAAAAAATTTCATTCAATTCAGACAAGAAATTTCTTCAGTAGAATTTTTATTAAAAATGTGTTTTTATGTGAAACAATAGGGAAATTTTCAATAGGTGTAAAACTTTTGACCTACTATTAATTTTCCAAAGAATAATTGCATTGCTGTATCAAAATTTGTTAAGTTAAATAAAAGTACAACTGACAGTTGTGATCCATGATCATTGGAAAATGCCTTAAACACTTTCTTTGTCATATTCTAAGAGTTGATTATTATTGTCAAATTATGGCATGCGCATAACAAACTGTGTATAAACAAAATAAATTACAGTAAATTTCCAATGGCTCATAAAATAAAAAGGGACATTTGAACAAAAGACAAAATGTGGGTTAATTTGAAACAGAAACTCAGAAAGAAACATTCAAACATTCAATCATTAAAACAGCACATTTACTTCAATAACTAAAAATTGAACTCCTTGTATTGGCAAATACAGCCAAAGAAAATAAACTGCATTTTATTGCATATCATAGATCATTAAACTACTAAAAATACCAGTCGTTGTAAAATATCTGTGCAATTCATCCATAGACAACTCTGTAATCATAATTCTACCAGTGATAAATATCATAAAATTCAAAATATAAAACATGGGAGGAGTTCTAGAAAAGGAAGATGAATTCAAAACTGTTTCATAAAGATTACAAAAAAAGAAATATTTAGAAAAGTTTTATAGTAAAGTCAAAAGTAAAATGACGGTTTAAGACCTTCAATTGATCACTTTCAGTCTTTTCTTCCTAAAACAATATAATTCTATATAGTTATGGTGATCAGTCGCACTAGGTTTGAAGAAAACTATACAATTTATACAAGATGGCAATACATCAGTTTTCAATTTGATTGCTTCATGGTTTGTGCTTTTTTGGAATATCTTTCCATACCTTTTTTTTTTTCGTACTGAAGGTGATATGTTTTATGATTTAATTTGAAATTGCACATTTCTTACTGGAATTTCTACGTAAAATGTCTCATTAGTCATATTTTTTTTCTATTGATGTACAGTTTCACAAATTATTTCATATAAATATGTTCCCTATAGATTACATTAAATCTATAAACTGAAAACTATTCAAACACCAAAACTAAACATACAAACTATGTGCAAACCAAGTGTTGCTTCACCATACAAATCCTTTATATATCAACACCTCTAGTTATATATAGCAATTATTTGATTAACTCCATATTTATAGTGACTTAAAAAAAAAACATCCCCTCTCTTTTAAATCACTCACCACTGGTAACTATATACAAGTATGTAAATGCAAAATATTAAGTCATTTATCACAAATTTTTAAAAATATGTTCAAAATGTGGAGAATTGCTTTGTTTTAAAACATATCCATACCATTTAGAAACTTAATCAGTTAAATCAAATAGTATATTGTTTTCTGATAGAAAGATTAAATCAAAACCTCTTTTAGCTGGACCAAACTTATTTTTCTAAACAATCAACTTTTATATTATACCAATCATACAAACATATTTTAGGATTTATATCAAAACAAATATAAATGGACATGTAATGTATCACTGAAACTCATTCTAGACAGGTTTAAGAAACAAAATATGTGATCCATTTTAATTTATATTCTATTCAAATTTATATTTCCTACAGCTACTAATACATGAAGGGACATAGAAACATATGACACAGTATTTGAATATTTTAAATAATTCTATACAGAAAATTAAAGGTTGAGAAATATAAAATCTAGTTCAAAATTTAATAACAAATTTCCAGTTCTTAATTCCGATATTTCTAATTACCTGTCATATTTAATTTTCTGGGAGGGGAGTTCCCCGATATTACTAATTACCTGTCATATTTAATTTTCTGGGAGGAGAGTTCCTGACAGAGTCTAACATCTTTGGACGACATCTCTTTGATGATGGTGGTTCCATACTGTCGTCTTTCATAGGTGAGGAATTTTCAACTGGTTTTTCTAATCTAAATCATTAAAAAATAAATGGGGAATGAGTCAATGGGACACAGATGATGCCCCCGCTTGCATATAACATTATAAAGGGACATAACTCAAGAACTGTAAAAGTGACGATAACCAAATTTGTACTTGATCTGTGTTTTGTGGTAATAAGCATTGTGTATAAGTTTCATAACATTTAGTTGAGGCAAACTAAAGTTAGAGAACAGAAACGAATATTTCATCAATTTTTCCATTTGTAAAGGGGCATAACTCTAGAACAGTAAAAGTGATGCCACCAATATTCAACCTTGACCTGTGTTTTGTGGTAATAAGCATTGTGTATAAGTTTCATAACATTTGGTTGAGGCAAACTAAAGTAAGAGAACAGGAACGAAAAATTCAGCAATTTTTCCATTTGTAAAGGGTCATAACTCTAGAATGGTAAAAATTAATGCCACCAAAATTCAAACTTTATCTGTTTTTTGTGGTAATAAGCATTGTGTATAAGTTTCATAACATTTGGTTGAGGCAAACTAAAGTTAGAGAACAGAAACGAAAAATTCAGCAATTTTTCCATTTTTAAAGGGGCATAACTCTAGAACGGTCAAAGTGACGCCACCAAAATTCAAATTTTATCTGTGTTTTGTGGTAATAAGCATTGTGTATAAGTTTCATAACACTTGGTTGAGGCAAACTAAAGTTAGAGAACAGAAACCAATTTTGGGACATACGGACGTACGGACGGACGGACAAGGGTAAAACTTAATGCCCCCTCCGCTACGGCGGGGGCATAAAAATACTTTTAAAATTTTTTTTTGTGGTCTTCAAGTATTAAAGGGACGTCCCAGTTGAGTCTATATGTACATTAACTTTCAGGCAAGCAGAAACTTTTATATTTTCTTCAATTCTTCTATCCATATTATTATCGTGTACACTTATGATGGACTTTTTTTTAAACTGGAGGCATTTTCACACACATGGTCCAATTCTTGAGGTACAACATGAGATTAAATTTTCTATTACATCAAAGAACCATTAAACATACAGCTTCTCAGAAACACCCTTTATATCAACTAATGCCAAAAAAAGATGCCCCTTCCTTTTTGACCGACGATTTTCTTCATTATCTCTTTTTTCATATATATTCAATGTAAAACCTCAAGAATATAATCTTTAAAATCAAATACATGCTTTGTCATAAGACATGCAACTAGTTTTTCATACCAAATTGCACTTTTAAGTTATATTAAAAGCTGCAATGACCAGCGTGGTAAATTTTGCATAATTTTGAAATATTTGAAATCTCCAATCAAATTCAAACAATGACTTATTTCATACATAAACTTACGATTTCAATGAGGATGTAGATGAATGTTGAAGTCTAAATAGCACCGATGTTCCTCTGAACTTCAACTGTCCCACAGCCTGTAAAAATTCTCCTAATGGTAACTTATTCTTACTCTCAGCTCCAAATAATCTGCAAAACATTATGTAAGTTATAAAATTACATTGTAGTTTAAATACCTATTCTGTAGCATTTGCACTTTTGTTTCAAAGGAGCTGTCAGTAGCTTTCAAAATGAAAGTAGCTTATTCAGGACCTGATCTGTCAATCTTGTTTCAAAATAATTAACTGCACAATATCATAATGTACATGTGTACTAAGTTTCACGTTAATGTGACCGCAACCTCCTGGTTAACTATCTTAAACAAAAACTATAACCCTGAACAGAGACAGACTAACGAAATAACAGAATGATGGAATATCTGACAAACAGAATATTGGATGGAAGAAATATTGGACAGACAGAATATCAGACAGATGAAATATTGGGCAGATGGACAGACCAAAAAACATTATGCTACCTTACTATTATAAAATATCTTCATACTTAGCACTTTTTACAGCATCTTCATCCACAGACTCATCATCTAAACTCAAATTCTTAAAACTTCTGATGTCTTTAACCATATGTCTAAAATACAGACATATAATAATTAAATATGTTTATTCAAGGCACATATATACATGATATATGGGATTGAGTTTATAAACACAAATGAAACATTGCTGCATGCAGTCTTTTCCCATTGTGAAAAATTATCCATATCTCATCATAGTACATGTACCAGGGTTTTAGTGCTGCTCTTCATGTTTGGTTATGCTGTAAGGTCTTCAATAATGAATTAAAGAGTGCATACCTCAAGCAGGATAAAGAAAATCCAGAGTCAAATAAACCAACTCATTTTAATTCAGTTGTCTCATTGGCAAACTTACCACATCTCTTTATATTATTTCTTGATCTTTCTTTAAAATTATGTATGTGTAAGTATTAAACATTAATAAGAAATAGCTAAAAGAAAGCATTCATGGTCATTTGTAAGTTTGATGTTAATATATAAACTACCTGAATTCATCATATTGTAAGTGTCCATCAGAGTTTTTATCATAGAATCTAAATATATATCTACATCTCATCTCAGCAGGCATACCACCATGCTGTGTACTAGGTTCTAATGCTGCTAAACCTAATAATACTTCCTTGAAGGTTAAAAACTTTCTCTTGTGAAGGTCAAATGCTCTGAAATACAATCACATAGACCATTAAGGCTTCTCATGTAAAATAGACCATCAAAACTGTCTCTTGTAAAATAAAATCAGATATATAATAACATTTTCTCTTAGGAAGGTCTGTTGTTCTAAAATAAAATTAAATAGACCATCATAACATTTTCCAGTGAAGGTCCAATGCCCTTGAATTCAACCATATGACCATCAAAACTTTTCTTGAGAAGGTCCAATGCCCTAGAATAAAATTAAACAGAATATTTCAATGATCACTCCATAGTGTGAAGCTACATTTTTTGATGTGTGGAAAAACAATTTATCAAAATAAAAATACACAGTAATACATGGATGAATGAATTGATTTTAAACTTCCAGTGGCATTTACTACATGTATATCATAACAAAAACATGCTTATGTGATGTCTATATGAAAACTCCTTTGTACAATATGGACCAGCCAAATTTTGAAGGTGCTAGTTTATAACACACAGTCAACAGAAAGGCATACAGTACGGGTAGAGACTTATTATTATGGATGTCTTAATCCGTCTAGATGTCAGACTGGCCGGACAGTTGTCTGAGTGTAATTAACACCTGCTGTGATATCAACCTGTACAATATCCGAGTGGAAGGTCGTAAATCAATCTGTACCAGCTTGATTAGAATTAAATTTTACCTGTACAGATATTTTAGTATTTATGGAGGATAGATAATAAATGTAAAATATTGTTTTATATTCAAAAAGAAAAAATAACAATAAAAATAAAAATTTAATATCATAAATATGGGATCAACTTTTTTTTAACTTGAAAATGAAAGAAAGACGATTTTTAACAATGTACTGTAAAAATGTGTTGCCAATTATAATTATTGTGTTTGTGCCAATAAACTGTTCGTATTTGTATTTGTAAACCGTAAATATTTCATTTTATTCAAAATTATAACAACCAGGACTGTTTTCAATCGAAGTTTTAATCAAAATGTTGAGACATCAATCCCGTAAATTATACGGGTTTTCGTTGATGGTTACAATATTTCCCCCTTTTAACGTCCTGTTCCTTAAAGTTATTAATAGAAACACAATTTTAAGTATAAGGCCAACATATCATATTTATAAAGTATATAAACAAATTGAATATAGGCATTGTGAATAAACTGTTATTTTCCTTTCGATACCACGTTCCCCGTCGGAGCCTCTACGTCTATTCATACCTGTCAATCATTTCTCGCAAGTAAAACAATTTGGTCAGCCAGATCATCCGTGCTTTCTATTTTGACATATATTTCCCGTTAATCTCTTTGAAACAATTGTTTTTTTTAACAATATTTATAACGCAGTGATCATCTTTCGATTCCTAGTTTTTATATAAAAAAAACTTTTCATATGCACGTCAATATTCTATGACCCAGCACTATTTTAAATTTTGTTTGTTAATAAATTTACATATAATAGAAATAACAGATTTGTTGACACTCGTTGTATTATAACAAAGATATTGCCTTTCTATTTCCATGTTTGAAATTTTAATGAAAATCGTGTTTTTATAAACATATTTTACGAATTGTGTCAATCAATACATGAAGATCAAAGTTTTACACTATTCATGATTAGCCGTCTTTACTTTTGCCTCGTATTTCTAGCCATTCTCTAAAGCTTGTGCAGTCAGTAAGATTTTGTAAATCGATGTTGGCAGTTTAAATTGTATAATTCCCGAACTTTAAAGGAGGTGTCCGAATAAATTATTTAAATAGGAATCTGGGTGTTGACTAATAAATATAATAAATAAAATAGTTAAAGAAGACTAAAGCTTGTTTTTTTTATAATTACAAGGATTAAATATTCTATTCTGGTAAATCAATTATTAATGGATCTCGATCAAGAGCCTCAAAACTAACGCACAATACTGCCAATCATTACGTATCAAATTAAATCATGAATGGATTTTCCCACGGTCGGTCAGTAAGGTCACCTGTGTTAACTGTTACGATATTTCCCGCCATATGAAAATCACGTGCATTTGACAAAATTAATCCCAGCTATTTTTAGCATTCAACATTGTATTGAGAGTGAAGTCAAGTTCAAAGTTCAATCACATGCTGTTGATCACTGATATGTGTATCATGAAATTGTCTTTTCACGGCAAATATTTTTTTTAGATTGGTGTCAAAAATACAACATACAAGTTAACATGCATTGTGCTTAAATTAATATTATGCAATTAAGAGTCAATGCAGCACCATAAAATTATTTAAATAGGAGTAATTGCATTTCTTTAGACTACAAATCATAGTAAATATTTAATTAACTGGTCATCAAACGATTGAATGCTTCTAGTTTTAATGTCCATTCATGTCAGTGGCAATTATTTCATGCATATTTAACAAACACAGAAATATAAAAATAAATCAATTCCTGAGAAGAATCGTTATCTTCTTCTAGTGTTATTATTTGCGTACTACTTTAGTTATATATCACCAACTTTCGGACAATATTTGTTTACAGTAAAAAGTAAATTCACAATTATAAAGAATCACCAAACTACTAGTATACAAGTATTGCTCACTGTAATTATTTTTATTTCAGAACTGACCCAACCCAGACTGAAAATTAAATACAAATGTAGTGTTGTCAAACTAAAACGTATGCAGCAGCACTTTGCACATCATTCTGCTAATCAATGGGTTTACGTGGAAAATAAATCAGTAATACAAAAATAACCTTCCAGAAATAAAAAAGAAAATATTTTAAAAACTGTATGCCAACAAATACGAAAAAAATACATAACAAAAAAAAACCAGGGAACATAGAAAATAATATTTTGAGGAATATAAACAGCATTTGAAATATAAAAAGCCATAATTAAAAAAATAGGCTATTTTTATTAAAACAAAGTTGTCTCCAGTACTTCACCTGTAAAAATATTTTATGTCAAATACGACGTAGAACTAATCAATAAAGTGACTGAGAGGTTTAAATCACAGGTAACCTGATTCTGAAATCAGTGAAGCGTAATAATCTAGTAGCACGGATTGAGATGAAAGGACAATTATATTACCGTTCACACCTGGATTTGTTGATTAATGACCATACTACCTACCATAAAAAAGTCGGATTATTCATTTCCGACATGTCCCAGTCCGTTATTTATAGTAATAAGTCTCTACCCGTACTGTATCACACTATCTGGACACATTATCTGACTTTGAGTCACTGAATCTTTGCTCAAACTACAAAATGCTGGATGCTTAGCACAAGCATTTAATACCAATTTTCAAGTCTTTGGTATGGTTGAAACAATGACCTCTGGCCCTAGTATTGAGCATCCTTTATTGCTCCACAAGACCACAGAGGCATACAAAATTTGCAAACAAATCTCAGGCTATCCCAACTTTTTGTAGTTTATATTTGTCTTGAACATGACCAGGTGTTGATTCTGTTATGTATGAAATTGTTGATCTTCCTTTGTATTCTCTTTTGAATAGCAAATTTTAAACCAAAATCTTTAAACAATTATTGGTAATAACCAAAATAAAAGAACAGAGTTCCAATGTCCCCCGCGTTACACATATTTTATCTATCCAAGAAAATGAGGTCAAGGTCAGATAAACCAAGCCAGACAGACATATACACCTTACAATCATTCCATACACCAAATATAGTTGACCTATTGCTTAAAGTTTGAAAAAAAACAGAACAAAACACAAAAACTTAACATAAGCAATGAACCATGAAAATGAGGTCAAGGTCAAATAAAACCTGGCAGACAGACATGTACATCATTAAATATTTCCATACACCAAATATAGTTAACCTACTGCATACAGTATTAGAAAAACAGACCAAAACACAATAAAATGCTCCACTGGGCGCAGCTTGATTAGACCGCAGAGATCGAACCCTGAACAGTTGGGGCAAGTATGGACACAACATTCTAGCTTGATACAGCTCTGAATTTGGATTGTGATTAAATGTTTGACACAGCATAGGTTTCTGACACAGAATGAATGTGGTCTAAGAACTTAAAACTTTTTAATTTACCTATAACGGTCCAATATCCAAAATCTAAATACATACACGGTTAGATTCAGCATATCAAAGAACCCCAAGAATTCAATTTTTGTTAAAATCAAACGAAGTTTAATTTTGGACCCTTTGGACCTTAATGAAGACCAATTTGAAAACGGGACCAAAAATTAAGAATCTAAATACACGGTTAGATTCAGCATATCATAGAACCCCAATATTTCAATTTTTGATGAAAGCAAACCATATCATTATTATTTGCTTTTATCATGTTTATATATGAATCAAAAATAACCAACTTAAAATGGAAAATTAAAAAAAAAAAAAAAAAAAAGGAACCCCCCCCCCCCCCCCACAATTTTTTGAACCCCCTTATGATTCATCACCCCCAAACTCAATCCCAGACTTCCCTTTGTGGTATGGTACCTTGCAGTACAATTTCAGAGAGATCCATACACTTGAACACAAGTTATTGTCTGGAAACTGTAAAAATGCTTGTTTTTTGGCCCCTTTTTGGCCCCAAATTCCTAAATGTTTACGGCAATTACCCCCAAACTCAATCCCAGCCTTCCCTTTGTGGTATGGTACCTTGCAGTACAATTTCAGAGAGATCCATAGATTCCATACACTTGATTACAAGTTATTGTCTGGAAACTGTAAAAATGCTGGTTTTTTGGCCCCTTTTTGGCCCCTTATTCCTAAACTTTTTGGGCAATTACCCCAAACTCAATTCCAGCTTTCCCTTTGTGATATGTAACCTTGTAGAACAATTTCAGAAAGATACAAAAAATTACACATAAGTTATTGTCATGAAACTAGAAAAAATGGTTGTTATTTGACCTTTTTTAGCCCCTAATTCCTAAAATTTTGAGGCAATTACCCCCAAAATCAATCCCAGCATTTCCTTTGTGATATGGAACCTTGTGGTACAATGTCAGAGAGATCCATAAAATAACACACAAGTTATTGTCTGGAAGTTACAAAAATGCATTTTTTTTTGCACCTAATTCCTTAACTGTTGGTTTCATAACCCCCCAAAATCAATCCCAACCTTCTTTTTGTGGTATTGAACCTTATGGTAAAATTTCATAGAGATCTATTCACTTAAACTAAAGTTATTGTGCGAAAACCAATGTGTCTTCGGACGAAGGCGACGATGACGACGACGCCAACGCCATACCAATATACGACCGCAGTAAAAAACTTAACATTTAGCAATGAACCTTGAAAATGAGGTCAAGGTCAAATAAAACATACCAGACTGACATGTACATCTTAAATTATTTCAATACACCAAATATAGTTGACCTACTGCATACAGTATTAGAAAATCAGACCAAAACACTAAAACTTAACATTGAGCAATGAACTGTGAAAATGAGGTCAAGGTCAAATAAACCTGCCAGACTGACATGTACATCGTAAAATATTTCCATACACCAAATATAGTTGACCTACTGCATACAGTATTAGAAAAACAGAACAAAACACAAAACTTAACATTGAGCAATGAACCGTGAAAATGAGGTCAAGGACAAATAAAACCTGCCAGACTGACATGAACATCATAAAATATTTCCATACAACAAATACAGTTGACTTATTGCATACAGTATTACAAAAACAGACCAAAACACAAAAACTGAACTATGACCACTGAACCATGAAAATGAGGTCAAGGTCAGTTGACACCTGCCATCATTACATACACCAAATTACAACCTTACAATCATTACATACACCAAATATAGTAGACCTATTGCTTATAGTATCTCAGATAAGGACTTGACCACGAAAACTTAACCTTGTTCACTGATCCATGAAATGAGGTCGAGGTCAAGTGAAAACTGTCTGACAGGCATGAGGCCCTTGCAAGTTATGCACATACCAAATATAGTTATCCTATTACTCATAATAACAGAGAAAGTAACATTACAAAAAATCTTAACTTTTTTTTCAAGTAGTCACTGAACCATGAAAATGAGGTCAAGGACAATGGACATATGACAGACGGAAACTTCATATCATAAGGCATCTATATACAAAGTATGAAGCATCCAGGTCTTCTACCTTCTGAAATATTAAGAATAATACCAATTTTCGTGGATTTCGAGGATAATGTAGCTGGTCCGGTTCTGATCAGTAGTTTAAAATATTTCAATGGCAGACGAAGAAAAATTTACAAAAATAAACAATGTTTGACACGCTATTTGGAAAGGAATATGACGTTTTTAATGCAATACATGGATAACAAATTTACTTCAGGCAAATTTCATCAAGTTCTAATGAAGTAACAAACTTATTTTGCCGAAAATTAGAATGATTTGATGAACGTTCTCTAACAAGTACAGGAAGTGATAAAAAATTGTTTTTATGAAATAACATGCAACCATCTTTAAAATCAATGCTTTAACCTCTTTTCTGGAGAAAATAAATTATTTATGTCTTTGAATTTCTTTACTTTTTACTGAAAAATTGCTGTTTCGTTGACTTGGTAAAAATTGAATATTGCCGATGACGAAAGCGACTGAAAGCAAGTATTGTAAACAACAGGGCGATTAGATTTCACTTTTGACGGTCAGCAAAGCGAAGTGACGGCCGTGAAAGCATCTTTGTCGCCCCAGTCGCATGGTAGCGTGAGCCCTGTATAAACCTATGATTTAAGTTTCATAAAATTCTGGCAAGAATTGTACATATGAGAGCGCTAACAATGCAATTCTCCATATTTAATGTATACAAGGGGCATAACTCTTTTAAAAATAATTGTTAGGCACTGATTTTCGAACTCGTCCAAAACATTGCTAATATAAACCTATGATATAAGTTTCATAAAAATTTGGCAAGAACTGTACAAATGAGAGTGCTATCGATGCAATTTTCAATATAATTAATGTTTCCAAGGGACATAACTCTTTTAAAAATAATTGATCGGCACTGATTTTCGAACTCGTCCAAAACATTTCTGAATTCAACCTATGATATAAGTTTCATAAAAATCTGGCGAGAATTGTTCATGTGAGAGTGTTAACAAGACCGGAAGCCCAGTATTTCTATATCCCCACAACGTGTTGCGCGGGGGACAACTCGGGTGGTGAACATGCCAGGGGTCAGCTGGAAAAATGATACTTAAAGAGGTGAATTCTAAGCAGATAATTACCATATACTACTCAAACAAGTGATTTTCTTAAAAGATTCAGATAACACTAAATATTATCGTGTTTAATATTTATAGAGTTAATTTGCTCAGTTGATATGTTTATCTCTGTTATATTCTTAAAAACAGCACAGTTACACTTTAAATCTTGGAGAAAGAGTAACAAAATATAAAATCACTTGTTTTAGTGCAATAAATGTACTACTCATTTCAGTGATTTCAGACTTAAAACAAACATGATAAAGGTAGATAACTCCATTTTGTAATAATTCTGGACAAAATTTTACTTAATCAAATGATTTCAAAATCACTTCTTAAAGTAATTCCCCTGACTAATAAAAATACTTCAAATTATGTATCATGAATAAAAAGTTTCCCAACTTTTCTATTTCTTCACACTAGGATTATAAGAATATACATGTATGTACAAGCGAAGAAAAGAAAGATACTTTTACCCACACAGTGTTTTACCTGAAAAAATCTGCCATGTTGTCATCAACTTTTAAACCTTTAAACTGCATGTATTTCTCAAATACCTCATAACTCATGTACAGACTTGGTAAACAGAAATCCATATACTCTTGGAAATACAAAGCTTGCTCTAAAAAAGATGTGTCACATAAGATAATAAAATGTTTTACTTGTTCAAGAATTATTAAGCACATCAAGTAAAATGATTGCATGACTTGGGATTTCTATTAAAATTTGATAGGTGGTGATTATTTAAGAAAAGATGAACTGAACATTTTTACGAAATATTTAAAATATTATGCACGACAAGGTAAAATAAAAAGTGCCTTCTGACCCACATACATTTATTTCTTGCACAGCCCTTATCTAACTCAACCTTCTGAGTATGAATAAAAGGAAATGTGTGGAAAATGTCAATGAGAAAGCAAACTAAAGAAACAAAATAATGAAAAGACATCTGAAGGTCAAAATACAGTCTTTAACAATTGACAGGTATTTATCTACCTTAAGTCTAACAATTGACAGGTATTTATCTACCTTAAGTCTAACAATTGACAGGTATTTATCTACCTTAATTCTAACAATTGACAGGTATTTATCTACCTTAATTCTAACAATTGACAGGTATTTATCTACCTTAATTCTAACAATTGACAGGTATTTATCTACCTTAAGTCTAAACAATGTGTGAATTAATGAAACAAAAACTATCACAGATTGCATCTGATTTTGGGCTTACCCATGTCCTGCTGTTTTCACTCAAGATTGTCAATCGTATCAATTACCATTGAAGAGTAAGTAAACTCTTGATACCTTTTTATGGTTAATAGTCTTGTAAGGTTGCTGTCTCATTGATGTTTAATCCCCACCTAACATCTTCTACTACTCATATAAACTATTTAACAAATCTCTCATTCTGGAACTTAACGACAACGGATTTAATTTGAGATTACTGGCCTAATGACATCAGAAAAGTAACAAGCTTGTCATGATAAAATTACATACCGATTTTCAAATCAATATCTTCAAGCATGACGAAAAAAAAGTATGGAGAACTGATTATTTGAGTGAATTTTCTAAGTCGAAAGACCATAACTCTGCACAAAATCATTAGACCAGAACAAAATTTGAACTTGATCTGTAACTTGTCATTATAAAACTATATACCAATTTTCAAATCAATATCTTCAAGCATGATGAAAAAAAAGTGCGGAGAACTGATTATTTTAGTGAACTTTCTAAGTCCAAGGACCATAACTCTGCACAAAATCATCAGACCGGAACAAAATTCAAACTTGAACTGTAACTTGTCATGATAAAACTATATACCAATTATCTAATCAATATCTTCAAGCATGACGAAAAAAAAGAGCGGAGAACTGATTAGTTTAGTGAATTTTCTAAGTGTAAGGACCATAACTCTGCACAAAATCATCAGACCAGAACAAAATTCAAACTTGAACTGTAACTTGTCATGATAAAACTATATACCAATTATCTAATCAATATCTTCAAGAATGACAAAAAAAAATGCGGAAAACTGATTATTTCTTGCCAAACTTGGAAGATTTGACCCTGATACTAATATATTCCTACCTTTCTTGACAAACTTGGCAGATTTGACCCTGATACTAATATATTCCTATCTTTCTTGCCAAACTTGGAAGATTTGACCCTGATACTGATATATTCCTACCTTTCTTGCCAAACTTAGCTGATTTGATCAGTGATTCAGCAGCAGTTAGTTGTGACGAGTCTACTTTCTCTGTTTCAATGTATTCCACACAAGTCTCAACAATATTGTTACCATGAGCACCTATAATTCAAGTTAAAAATATTTGTACTTTTATAACAGAATATCAGATAACATTCCTCCTCCTCCTCCTCCTAACCCTATATACTAACCTTTACTAGAGGGTAATTGTGATTCAATCTATTTCTATGTATGAATACTGCAGTCTATCAACATGGGGGGATGGATTTAAATCATTCAGTGTCTAAATGGATGTATAAATAGATTCTAAAACTTTGCGCTTTTTTTAATGAGAAAACTGTAAAATACTGTAAAATAAATGAAAACGAAAGCTTTAAGTTTTTATGAGGATTATTTACATTCATAATGTAGCAATATATTTAAGTTTCAACAAAGACTTATCATAAGCATGTTCTCAATTATTAAAATAATAAATTACATAGCAATAAGATTTCTTTGTCTCACTTTTGGACTCGCCATGGCCAAAAATGAAAGGGGGTCATAAATAAGATAGCCATCTAAAATAAAATAAAAACAAGAAATGATTGTAACAGGATGCTGTTACGAAGTCTCCCAAACGAAGCTCCTATAATTCGTAATTCACAGGGTTGCCTGACATTGGGCAGAATATATATGGTTTAGGGGTGGGGATCTTGACCATTTACAAGATACTAGAACATCGGGGGTGGGGAGGAACCCCTAGGGACTGACCCTATACGTCATTCAAATGTTCATTACATGACGAACAGGAATATATATGGTTTAGGGGTGGGGATCTCAACCATTTACAAGATATTAGAACATTGGGGGTGGGGGGAACCCCTGGGGACTGACCGTATACGTCATTCAAATGTTCGAGACATGACAAATAGGAATATATATGGTTTAGGGGTGGGGATCTCAACCATTTACAAGATATTAGAACTTTCTTAAATGGCAGGGGGTGGGGGTGATCCCTGGGGACTAACCCTGTATATCAATCAAACCATCTTAGCATGACAAACCAGAATATATATGGTTTAGGGGTGGGGATCTCGACCATTTACTTGATATTAGAACTTTCTCAAATGGCAGGGGGTCGGGTTGACCCCTGGGGACTAACCCTGTATATCATTCAAACCATCTTAGCATGACAAACCAGAATATATATGGTTTAGGGGTGGGGATCTTGACCACTTACAAGATATTAGAACTTTCTTAAATGGCAGGGGGTGGGGGTGACCCCTGGGGACTAACCCTGTATTTCATTTGATGTGCTTTATCATGACAAACCAGAATATATATGGTTTAGGGGTGGGGATCTTGACCATTTACAAGATATTTAAACTTTCTCAAATGGCAGGGGGTCGGGATGACCCCTGGGGACTAACCCTGTATATCATTCAAACCATCTTAGCATAACAAACCAAAATATATATGGTTTAGGGGTGGGGATCTTGACCACTTACAAGGTATTAGAACTTTCTTAAATGGCAGGGGGTGGGGGTTGCATTTATAATCATTTGAAAATTTTAAAAAATAAAATCCCATAGGGTTCTATAGTAAAACCCTCTTTTCTTTTTGCCCCTCAAAGTACCCCTTTATAAACCCCAATGCACAAACAAAACCCTGATTGCACCACTAGACATGTTAGTCTAACATATTGTGAAACCCTAAGTTAATCTGACAAGCGGTTTTGGAGAACGGGTGCGGACAAGTTCAAATTTAAAAGCGGCGGAAGAAGAAGAAGAATAATAATAATAATAAGAACTGAGCAAAAACAATAAGTCTTCCCAAACTTCGTTTGGGAGACTTAATAAAAGAAATAAATCATCAAAAGTTATATGTGTTTATTTACAAAACATGCACATATGTGTAAAGTAAGCAATGACCTTGACACCATAACATAAGGGATACATACCATCATGTAGGTTCTTCACAAGATGTAATGGTTCCAGACCAAGAATTCCACTTGGTGCTATCTTGATTCTGTCCTCCATTTCTTCTAATGACAGCCATTCCCCTTCTTGATCACACTATCAATAAACATGGAGTAAAGCTTCATAAATAGCTCATGCTTTTTATTTGATATTTCTTGTCTAAATCTTACTGATACAGATGTATCTCCATGAGGTATTGTTATATAGCATATCAATCAAGTTATATTTAGTTATCAGGTATGTAGCCAAAAAAAACAGATGGTGACAATAATAACACAAACAGAATAATTGTCTTGTCATCATGCAAGATTATTTTTTTCATGTCATTGTATGTGCTGCTTATCTAAATTGGACCATTTGTGATACTCATAGGCAACTGGTGTACAGTTTAACTTTAGAATAAATCAAACTTATGTAGAATATTACTTTATCTTAAATTCTAAAATATTTTTTTCTTATATACCGTTAGATATCAAATCTATATCTAAATAGATGTAAGCAAAGAAACAATTATGATAATGCTAATGATAATCAATAATATGAAGTTAACTATAGTGAAAGTCAGTGTTCACATGAAAGTGCCTAAAAAAAATGTTTTCTGGGCATAGATTTTTCTTTAAGTATTTTTTTATTGAATATTCAAACAAATTTCTTCAAGTTCTTCTACTTCTAGCATGTCTAGACAGAATAAATAAAATGCTTCGCTGGAGCGCAGCTTGATACGACCGCAGAGGTCGAACCCTGAACAGTTGGGGCAAGTATGGACACAAAATTCAAGCTTGATACAGCTATGACTTTGGATTGTCATTAAATATTTGACACAGCATAGGTTTCTGACACAGGATGAATGTGGTGTAAGAACTGGAAAAAATTTAATTTACCTATTATGGTGGAATATCCATAAACTAAATTGTTTGTTAATTTCAATATATCAAAGAATATGTAGAATTCAATGTTTGATGTAATGTAATAAAGTTGAAATTTGGACCGTTTTTGTTCAATGTGGACCAATTTGGTAACATGTATAAATAATCAAAAATCTAAATACATGGGAGCCCACTTAAATACATCATAAAGGTATTAAAATAGAAAGTGACATCAGTCATGGCTAAAAATAAACAAAAATCCTTAATCAGCAACATTTAAAGTAATATCTAAAAATAAAATTCCTTTGTAACCGTAAAAGCCCATTTAAATACATCATAAAGATATTAAAATAGAAAATGACATCATAGTCATGGCTAAACATAGCAAAAAACCCTTAATCAGCATCATTTAACAGTAATATCTAAAAATGGAAATTACATCATAAAGGTATTAAAATAGAAAATGACATCATAAAGGTATTAAAATAGAAAATGACATCATAGTCATGGCTAAAAATAAACAAAATCCTTAATCAGCATCAGCAACATTTTATAGTAATATCTAAAAATAAAATTCCTTTGTAACCATAAAAGCCCATTTAAATACATCATAACAGATATTAAAATAGAAAATGACATCATAGTCATGGCTAAACATAGCAAAAACCTTAATCAGCATCATTTAACAGTAATATCTAAAAATAAAAATTTCTTTGCAACCATAAAAGTAAAATAGAAAATGACATCATAATCATAGCTAAAAATAAACAAAAATTTTTTTTATTGGCAAATTTTAAATGGAGTTTATTATACTAAAACAATAAATTTGCAACCATAAACATGATAAAACCCCATTTAAACACATCATAAAAGTATTAAATAATTCAACTACATCATAAGGCTATAAAAATAGAAAATGACTTCATAGTCAAGGCTAAAGGTAAACAAAAAACCTTCATCAGCAAAATTTTATATTGGCAAATTTCCAATGAAGTTTATTACACTAAAATTGTTGGCAAATTTCCAATGCATTTATTAACAATAAAGTTATTGGCAAATTTCCAATTTACATAATTTAAAAGCAGTGTAGATGAGATATTTAAATGAGTTTGAATTACCAACCTTACACTGCTTTTAAATAATGTTCTTTACTCAATTATTTGTCTATTAAAATGGAAACCCTTGTTTTTTAACCTTTTTTCCCCTTATTCCTTAAACATTAGAGCCATAACCACCCCCCCCCCCCCCCCCCAAAGCCAATTATTACTTTCCAATGTAACCTAAATTTCCAATATACATAATTTTAAATTTCAATTCCTCATGATATATAACCGTATCATTATTATTTTCTTTCATATATAAATCTGAAACAACCATCTTTAAATGGAAAATTTTAACGGAAAAAAAAGGAAAAAAAAAATCCTACCCCCCACACATTTTTTCAACCCCCTTTTGATTCATCATCCCCCACCTCAATCACAACCTTCAATTTGTGGTATGGTACATTGCAATACAATTTCACAGAGATCCATACACTTGAACACAAGTTTTTGTTGCAAACTAAAAAAATCCTTATTTTCGACCAATATTTGGCCCCTTATTCATAAATGTTTGAGCAATTAACCCCAAAACTCAATTCCTACTTTCTCTTCGTGATAAAAAATAACTAACTTAAAATGTAAATTTTAAACAAAAAAAAAGGAAAAAAAAAAATTACCCCTTTTTTGACCCCCGCCCCCCTTATGATTCATCACCCCCACCCCCCTTTCCCCCCAAACCAAGCTCAATAACAGCCTTGCCTTTATGGTATGGTACCTTGTAATACAATTTTAGAGAGATCCATACACTTGAACACAAGTTATTGTCTAGAAACTAAAAAATGCTTATTTTAAACCCCTTTTTAGGCCCCTTATTACTAAACGTTTTGGGCAATTACCACAACACTCAATTCCAGCTTTCCCTTTGTAAAATGGAACCTTGTAGTAAAATTTCAGAAAGATCCATACACTTACACACAAGTTATTGTCATGAAACTAGAAAAATGCTTGTTTTTTGCCCCCTTTTGGCCCCTTATTCCTAAAATTTTGAGGCAATTAACCCCAAAATCAATCCCAGCATTGACCCTTTGTGATATGGAATCTTGTGGTACAATGTCAAAGAGATCCATATGCTAACACACAAGTTATGTCTGGAAGTTACAAAAATGCTTATTTTCGGCCCCTTTTTGGCCCCTAATTCCTTAACTGTTGGTACCATAACCCCCAAAATCAATCCCCACCTTCCTATTGTGGTATTGAACCTTATGGTAAAATTTCATAGAGATCCATTCACTTAAACTAAAGTGAGAGTGCGAAAACCATTGTGTATTCGGACGACGACGCCGGACGACGACGACAACGACGACGACGACGACGACGCAAACGTCATACCAATATACGACCTCAAAATTTTTTTGCGGTCGTATAATAAAAATGCTACAGGTATCACTCACTGTTTGTAATTTCTTTCTCAGGCCATAAAAAGTTTCTGTGTTAATGTATATTTTTGTTAAATGAACAAACATATTTCTTCAATAAAATCTAGCATATGCCTCTCTTACATTGTATGCCAAAAATCCTAAGATATCTGATTCTTGACCTTTATTTTCTGCCATTAATCAATATAGATAAATGTAGATGTGGGGTAAACATGCCAATAAAATGGCAATCCAAAAAAACTGGAGGCCCCAAGGACCCTGAATTGCCAATTTATCCAATAGTTTCTAAACATGCAAAAGAGAAGATAACTTCTGACAACTGCAGATGGTTTTGTCAATGCACTAAAAATTCTAAATATTTTGCCTTGAAACCCAAGATTTACGAAAGCCTATAAACCAGGTTTGACTGTATATCCTTTGGTCTTCGTTGGAGGGTTGTCTCATTGCTGATCATACTATTTCTCCTTATTTTTATATATATATCTATCATGTCAATAGATATTATAACTTATCTAATGCTGGATGAATGATGGACCCAAATTGATGACAGTAAGTCACTTGTGCCTATGGTCCAGTTGAGTTAAAAAAAAAAAAGGAGAATGTGTCCCCATGGACACAGATGATGCCCCCACTTGCATACAACATTGTGAAGGGACATAACTCAAGAACCATAAAAGTGACGCTACCCAAATTTGTACTTGATCTGAGTTTTGTGGTAATAAGTATTGTGTATAGGTCTCATAATGTTTGGTTGGGACAAACTTAAGTTACAGAACGGAAACTAAAAATTTTGCAATTTTTCGATTTTTAAAGGGCATAACTCGATCATGATTAAAGTGACGCCACCAAAATTCAACTTGATCTGTATTTTGTGGTAAAAAGCATTGTGTATAAGTTTCATAACATTTGGTTGAGGCAACTTACTTAGAGAACGGAAAACTAAAAGTTTTGCATTGTTTTCCATTTATAAAGGGCCATAACTCGTGAATGGTTAAAGTGACCCCACCAAAATTCAAACTTGATCTGTATTTTGTGGTAATAAGCATTGTGTATAAGTTTCATAACATTTGGTTGAGGCAAACTTAAGTAAGAAAACGGAAACTAAAAATTTTGAAATTTTTCCATTTATAAAGGGACATAACTCTAGAATGATTAGAACGGTTAAAGTGACCCCACAAAAATTCAAACTTGATCTGTGTTTTGTGGTAATAAGCATTGTGTATAAGTTTCATAACATTTGGTTGAGGCAAACTCAAGTTAGAGAACGGAAACTAAAAATTTGTAATTTTTCCATTTATAAAGGGGCATAACTATAGAACGGTTAGAGTGACGCTACCAAAATTCAAACTTGATCTGTATTTTGTGATAATAAGCATTGTATACAAGTTTCATAACATTTGGTTAAGGCAAACTCAAGTTAGAGAACGGAAACCAATTTTGGAACGTACGGACGTACATACGTACGTAGATGGACAAGGGTAAAACTTAATGCCCCCTCCATTAGGGAGAGGGCATAAAAACTAAAGGTAAATATTATAAAATACAACAAGTTGACAAGTGTCAAAATTACCGTCGATATGTCTTTGATTGGAGTAGCCAAATATATGAGGTTGACAGCTGTAGGAGCGTATACATAAAGAACGAAGTTTGTCTTTACTACTTCCTTAATCGCAACTGCCTGTCCTGTTATCTGTAATACAAAACAGTTTTTTACAATAATTATAGTGTATTCTTTCTTGCAATGTTAAGGTAATGTTAAGGTTACACTTACATGTAAATGACTTAATCATGTTAGTTACATAATAATAACATTGTATTTATATGAAGATCTTTTTCTTTTACATTTTGTATGTCACATACTGACATAGCATTGATACCAAAGACATGAAGAGAAAACTTTCTGATTTTGGAATAATGATATCATTATTGAATTATCCATCAAAAGTTCAAAACTTACATGACTTACATCCATAAATACAATGACTAATAAATACATTTAGTTAAAAATTGTGATTTGATTAGAAAAATATGAAAAATGTTTGAAACTTCTAGGGAAAAAAACATATAAATCATGTGTATATTTTACTACAATATTTTTCTTTAAAATAAATGTTTATAAATTTGCTGTTACGCAACAGGAAATTGTAAAGTATTCTAACTGTTTGCTGACTTCGTCCCCTTTCACAGCTGGTAACACCTACCTCATATTATGAGTCAAGTCAACTTTCAATAATGGATGGATCAACTGGGTACTGACAACTTATACTTTTGCCAACTTGTACTCAACCAACCCATACTTTTACCAACTCGTACCCATTTTTGCAGCATTATTATGTATCATTTAACATGTTTAATCAGATAAATCGTAATATTAATGATAATTTTGTATTTTATAATTGATATTGTCAAAGACATGTATAGTATGCATGTATCTGATCTAGTGATAAATAAATGGAGAATGTGTCTATGGGACACAGATGATGCCCCCACTTGCATATAACGTTATAAAGGGACATAACTCAAGAACAGTAAAAGTGACGCTACTCAAATTCGTTCTTGATCTGAGTTTTGTGGTAATAAGCATTGTGTATAAGATTCATAACATTTGGTTGAGGCAAACTGAAGTTAGAGAACGGAAACGAATAATTCAGCAATTTTTCCATTTGTAAAGGGGCATGTAAGGCCAACTAAAATTAACAAGTATTCTGTGAGTATTGCATGGCAATACATGGTCCCCTACCGGTTAAAAATTCATTGTAATGGAACGAAATTCTAACTTGATCTATAACTTGTCATGGTGTAAAAAGTTAAATCACAAAAATACTGAACTCCGAGGAAAATTCAAAACGGAAAGTCCCTAATCAAATGGCAAAATCAAAAGCACAAATACATCAAACGAATGCACAACATCTGTCATATTCCTGACTTGGTACAGACATTTTCTTATGTAGAAAATGGTGGATTGAACCTGGTTTTATAGTGCTAAACCTCTCACTTGTATGACAGTTGCATCAAATTCCATTATATTGACAAAGATGCGTGAATAAAACAAACAGACATAAAAGGTAATAAAATGCTTCGCTAAACAAATAAAGTTCAATTAATTCTCAATGTCATATCAAAAATTTATGAAAATGTAAAGGGAGCTTATATCAATAGATATAAATAATTCACCAAAGTTTCATGAGAATTTCTGAGAGCATTTTTGAGTTATTGTCCAAAAACTGGAAAATCCCCCTTTTTTAATGAATAAAACCCCATAACCTGATAACTCAGAAATGTAACATGTAAAATTTATAAAATTCTAAACAGAGCTTACATCAATAGATATAAACAATTCACCAAAGTTTCATAAAAACTGCTGAAAGCATTTTTGATTTTTTGTGAATAAAACCCTGTAACTCGGAAATGTAAAATCTAAAATATATAAAAATCAAAAGGGAGCTCATGTCAATAGATATAAACAATTCACCACAATTTCTTGCAAGTTGGTGAAAGCATTCTCGAGTTATTGTCTGAAAACTGGAAAATCCACCTTTTTTAATGAATAAAACCCCATAACTCGGAAACATAAAATCTAAAATTTATAAAAAAACGAAAGGGAGCTCACTTCAATAGATATAAACAATTCACCAAAGTTTTATGCAAATTGGTTAAAGCTTCTTTGAGTTAATGTCCGACATGTTGACGATGGACGGACAGACAACGGTATACCATAATACGTCACGTAAACAGGCATATAAAAAAGTACATTTATGCTAGACATTTTTTTTTCTTTTCACAAGAAAATTAAACCTCAATTAAAGGACTTAGATACATGTATTCATAATCATGATAATGCTGCACTTCTTAATAATTTTTCAATAAATCCAAATTGATTCTGTGTGTAGGTTCAACCGGTAAAATAATCACTAATAAGAATATTTTAAAAGGGGAGAAGTACCCTATTACAGTAGAAAAATCAATGAAAAAAAAAAAAAAAAAAAATCGGGAAAATTTCCCGAAATTTTCATTGTTCTAATGAACTCAAAATCGTTAACTTTTTTTTTGTCACTTTTTTTAATTCCCGCATTTGCGCAGAAATCTACTTCCTTCTTCCGGTCTCATTTGTCATGAGACTTTGAGTGAAATATATATTTATCAGTCCAGTAAAATATAGGAAGGAACACAATAACAATTTCATTTCTAATTATTCTTTGATATGAAAAAACGTTACCTGATGATAGCGTTTCTTTGCTTACCTTGAATATGACGTCATAACTAAAATCAAGTCACAACTAACATCCCTATAACAGAACTAAAATTGGAAACGATACGTTATTTCTGTTTCTTTTTTAACAGATTTAAAACTTAAAATATGTTTGAATTAAAAAAAATAATTTATATAGACTTCTTCCCCTTTCACAGGTAATGCCTGTCTCATATTAATTAAAATTTCAAATCAACATAAATATTTTATCTATTTTTAAAAAAATTCAATGATAGAAAATAACTACTATATTGCATGTGAATACAAGGCGTCCCAGAAAAAAAATTAAAATAGCCTTTCAAGACGTTATAATTATTTGGACTAGTTGCCTACATGTACGAGTTGACATGGATCAAATCAACATGGTGGCTGAACTACATGAACCCCACCAGAAATAGAACACTGCTTCAGAAACAATCACGACTAAAGAGCTCTCGTTTTATAGCATAATCTAGTATGCATGACATGTCATGTATTTTGAACTGATCGACATCACCTTTCGTAAGAGATTCTGTGCCACTGTATGTAAAGTTTCTTCCTCATTTCTTTGACTAGTTGGTAACCATAATCCTCCTGACTCAAATTTTGTGAGAAATATTCTCTGATCTAAAGTTCTTGGGATTAAAACTGTTACAGACTCTAATTGCCTACCGGAAGGCATTGTGTTTTTGCGACTTATTCAATGTTTCAATTACGAAATACAGAGATTTTGTGTTTTGCCATTTCAGCCGGAAATTCCCTTGTGAAAGAAAATTTCCCACATACAAAATATTTTGTAACTCAACTTCATCATTTTAAAAAATATTTTTATGGTTAATTGAAAAGAATTTTACAGTATTTTTTTCCCAAAATATAGTTAGTATTATTGCATTTGCTCATAACTAATAAAAGTACATAGGAAAACATTGGTGAATAGCATATCAAATACCAAGCGATAAAGTGTCAATCAGCTGTCAAAATGTTTTTTTTTTTTTTATTAAATTCTGTATCTGTATCTGTGAGCAAAGAAACGTATCTTTTAAAGACTTAATCCAAAATTAGGAAAACAATCAATGTATTAGAAAAACAAAAGCAACAAGGAAGCTGACTATTTTTTTACTCAACAGTCATACTGGGTAACAAACTCTGAAGCCACACTTTATTGACACTTCACGTGGGATTGTTTATAAAAAAAAATGTTGACAAATTATTTCAAATTTGCATTGTAGGTCGCATAGAATTTATACCTTTATACCTTTATCTTAGGGTCATGAAATAAGCCATGGCTTCTACTGACATAACGATATTGGTCATTGTCAGGATTAATATGTAATACTTTACATTTAGCACTTCATCTGACCATGATGAAGTTGTATTATTTATACGAACACATTGCTTACGTCCAGATAAAAAACTTGTAATCCAATTTAAAATACTGCCCTTGATTACAAGTTTTTTATGTTTCAAAAATAAACGCTGATGAGGCACGGTATCGAATGCCTTGGAAAAATCAAGGAAAAATCGAGTCTAGTGGCAGTGGAAAACCACTATCAATTAATTCTGACCATTCATCCAGAACCTCCAGGAGTAACACATGATCTACCTGGTCGGAAGCCATATTGACTATTTGTAAAAAGATTGTTCATAAGATATACTTAAGGTCTTACCAGGGCACAGTTTATTCCCTTTCTTAAATATTGGTTTCCAATCATCTGGAACTTTACCCTCTTTAATTGACTTATTAAAAATTTTAAACAAAGGATAGCAAACAGCATGTCTAACTTCGTAAAAAACTTTCAGATGTAGACCATCACATCCTGCTGACTTATTTGTCTTTAATATTTTAAGTTTCTTTAGCACATCTTTCGTACAAATATTAATGTCATCTAAAAAATTGTTCGACTCTGAATTGGTGTAATAATCTTTCAAGCCCTCTGTATGAGTATTGAGTAAACACACTGGTTTAAAACTTCAACTTTATCAGCAGTACTTGATGCTAAAGTACCATCCGGGTTTCTCAAGAGTGCCTACTCCTGATCTAGTCTTAAGTTTACTGTTACATGTAATATAATTCCAAAACGATTTAACATTAGTCTTTGATTCTTAGGCCACTTTTTGCTTAAAACTAAGTTTGGCATTTCTAACAGCATTTGTACATTCGTTAAGATATTTATATTTTTTCCAAGATTTACATTTTTTGACAATTGCAGACTTAGTAGCTCTATCATGTCTATCCATCCACAATGGTTGGTTTATAAATTCAAGGTCAGTCCTTTTCTTAGGAATAAAATTATCAATATTATCTGACATTATTGAAGAGAAACATTTCCACATTTCATCAATGCTTTTATGATTTAGCTAAACATCCCAGTCAATGTTGTTTAATCTCTCATTAAAAAGTTCATAGTTACCTCTAAAATATGAAAAACTTTCGCCTGAAGTTTTCTCATTTTTCAAATAACAAAAATCAAAATTAATCATGCAATGGTCACTCTTCCCCACTGGTGAATCAGTTTGTTTCTAGTCTTTAGCTATCATATTTTCTTCATTAGTAAAATTTTAGATGAAAGTTTTTTTTCAAAGCCAAATACAAATGCTTTATGTTGTAATAGTCAAATGTATATATTGATACATATATCATGTATATAGTGCTCCAGCAAAAAAATAAAAAAAAAAAAAAAAAAAAAACACAAAAAAACAAAGTCAAAGGAGGGAGAGGGGGACAAACACATTAGATTAAACAACAGCCAATATATCTACTGATCTATAATTGAAGCCAAATAGCTCAAGATCAGTCAGGGGTATGACTTAAACAAGTGATGTCATTATCACATATTTTAGTGATTTTAAAGTTCAGTAATCACCTATGTAATTTTCCATTAAATAACATTTTTTTTCTGTTATTTGCCTACATAGATCACATATCTCTTTCTCTTGCATGTCTTGTATATTGATTTTAGCAGTGCTCTAGGGCAGTAAGTCGGGGCTTTTGGGGATTTATATGTATTCAAATATTCATTAAACAATCGGACAAAAGTCAACAATTTTAAGCATTGTTAAGTAACCTTATTTGTTATTTTTAGGCAGTTAAGCTGCCTTATGCTACCACCCTAGATTTGTGTTCTTCCCACTGAATGGTGTAAAAAGAGCTATTGTTATTATCTAGCTGGCTAATATGTTATTAATAACTAATTGGGCACTTTTTTCATACTTTCAATTCTGGAATACAAAAAATATGACCAGAAAAACCTTAAATGATCGTCGAACCACCCAAAATTTTTGAAGTTGCACATAGGAAGTAGTGCTCATTAGAAATCCGTACGTAGTTTATTATCCCATGTGCTTTTGGCTAAGATGTCAAAGAACAATTGTATGAAATATTTCATCGCCGAAAATCTCTAATTACAAGTCGTTTACATTTCCCAAATGGCAAACGGCGCAGGAATATTGTTCATGTACACCAAATCTCTATGATAGAGGAAATAAAGATATATATAGTAGTCTAACGTGGCGGTAATTTTAACTTACACGAAACGTAAGCTAGTAAGTATTCTGATGTTATAAAGTAAGTTTTGTTTATCATGATCTTCTTTTCGTATAAGAAGATTGTGATTAATCAATTAATTTCAATTAAATGTATGCACATTTAAATTCCTTTCTTTTATTAAACATGTTAAATTATTCCGTTCATCACTGAACTTGCCAAATTAAGTTGTTGTTGAATGACAAAGATGAAAATCGACGTTGATGGGATGTTTTAAGAAATGTGGACAACTCGTCCCCTAGACAAGTCGGACCGAGTCCACTCGGACCGTCTAAGAATACAACTCGGACCGCTTGTCAGATTTACTTAGGGTTTCATAAAATGTTAGGCTAACATGTCTAGCGGAGCCATCAATCTTTCGTTTGTGCCTTGGGGTCTATTTAGGGATATTTTGAGGGCCTAAAGAAGGGAGGGGTTTACTATAGAACCCTATGGGAATTATTTTTTTTAAATTTTCAAATGACTATTACTTGAAAACAGTAAGTGACAGACACACACGGTCTTCAGTAATAATAACAGGACAATAGAACAAATCAAATAAAATATAGGGTGAGTCCCTGGGGGGTCATCCCACTCCTTGAATTTGAAAATGTGCTTTTATCTTGTCAACGGTCGCGATCCCCACCCCTAAACCATATATATACTTGTATGGGACAATAAAACAAATCAAATGAAATATAGGGGGAGTCCACAGGGGTCACCCCCACCCCCTTCTTTTTGAAAACTTGTAAACGGTCGAAATCCCCACCCCTAAACCATATATATTCATTTATGGGACAAGACAACAAATCAAATGAAATATAGGGGAGTCCCTTGGGTCACCCCACCCCCCTTATTTTTGAAAACTTGTAAACGGTCGAGATCCCCACCCCTAAACCATATATATTCATTTAAGGGACAATAAAACAAATCAAATGAAATATAGGAGGAGTCCACGGGGGTCACCCCCACCCCCTTATTTTTGAAAACTTGTAAACGGTTGAGATCCCAACCCCGAAACCATATATATTCTTTTATGGGACAAGATAACAAATCAAATGAAATATAGGGGAATCCCTGGGGTCACCCCCACCCCCCTTATTTTTGAAAACTTGTAAACAGTCGAGATCCCCACCCCTAAACCATATATATTCATTTATGGGACAATAAAACAAATCAAATGAAATATAGGGGGAGTCTACGGGGTCACCCCACCCCCCTTATTTTTGAAAACTTGTAAACGGTTGAGATCCCCGTCCCAAACCATATATATTCTTGTATGGGACAATACACTAAATCAAATGAAATAATGGGTAAGTCCCCTGGGGATCACTCCCCCACCCCCTTTTTTGAGAACTTGTAAACATTGAGAGACCCAACCCTAAACCATATTTATTCCTGTTCGTCATTTCAAGAAGATTTGAATGACATACAGGGTCAATCTCCTAGGGTCACATATGCATATCACTTTACTAGACCTAACCAATTTGTACTGGACTTTGCCCAATGTCAGGCGACCATGGGAATGACGAATTATGGGATCTCTGTTTGGAAGACTTCGTAACAGCATCCTGTTACAATTATTTCTTGTTTATTATAAAATTTGATTGATGCAAAAATAAGTCTAGGTTAATTGAATTTACTTTACTTATTTTTTGAATTATTTCTGGGCCTATAAAAATTTTCATTTATGGTTCATTTTAAAGAAAACATATAAATCTTTCAAGTAGTGTAAAGCCCAAGAATGTTTGACCAACTGTTTTATAATCACATGTGATTTTACTCCAAACTTGGGATGGAGTGACATCATGGACTTGGTGAAGGTAAGGGTCATTTACATTTACTATGGGCAGGTCAATCAGACCTCACTTTTGATCCCTGTAGTAGTAAACCGATGGCTGATTTGTGTCTCATAACTTTTGTACTGTAGAACCCAAACGCAGTGTTCCTGCCAGGGAAGCAAGTCCTTTCATACTACGTCAACTTGTACCACTAAAAGTCAACTGGTACCAACGTTAACTACCAACTAGAACAACTGCAATCATAATATGAACTTGTACCACTGCAAACTCATCATTAAAAATAAACATTGATATATGCATTGCTTTTGAAAACCTTGATAAAATATTAATTAATTTGCCTTAATAATCAATTCATTAAATAAACATACATGTACAATATACGAATATTTGATGTTTGTTCTTTCAAATCTTTAAAAAAAAAATGAAGCAACACTGCCACAGTTTTCATAATTACGTTTGCCTTGGTTTTTGGTTAACTGCCTATAGCGCTTACAGTGCTTTGATTACTTTTTACAATTACCAGGCTTCTCACAAACGAAATCAAAGTTACTCAATTTTATTACGGCACAATATATAGTAACAAGACATACAAACAAATATATTTAACTGGCAGTCAAATCAAAATTGTTAGTAAGCAAATAAGTGACAAGCCATTAGAAATAAATAGACATAATAAAGCCAAAAACATCGAATACACATTTGAGCTAGCCGCCAAGCTAACGACAGCCAAAAAACAAACAACTGTGCTGAACAATACTTTTTAGTCCCCTACTGACGAAGTCGAAGGGGACTTTAGGTTTGCACTCTGTCTGTCTGTCCGTCCATCCGTCCGTCCGTCCATCCATCAGTCCGGCAAAACAGTTTTCCAGACTTTTTTTCTTCATGCTTGAAGATATTGATTTGATATTTGGTGTAGTGTTTTATCATGACAAGTTACAGGTCAAGTTCGATTTTCACGATTTTAGCTTTTCTCCTTGTTCAGTTAAAGCCCTTTCCCTAGAATTAAATTTTTGATGAAATACTTATTAATTACTAGATTTCTATTCCAAGGGAATTAACTCATTTTTTAACTTTCCCTAGAATTAAGTTTTTGATGAAACACTTATTAATTACTAGATTTCTTTTGAAAGGGAAATAACTCATTTTTTTTTTTTAAAGATTTGTAAAAGACATTGTATTAAGATAAATGACATTTTGGATTTTTTTCCTTTTCTTTAGTAAATTGTTTGAAGAATTTAGTGGTAGGTTTGCTCCATTACAATGAATTTTTAACCCGTAGGGGACTATGTATTGCCATGCAATACTCACAGAATGCTTGTTATAACTAAATAGATAAAGAATATTAAACAATATGCTTGTAAATCTAGCATGCAAGAAATTACATCAAGCAAAAACTAAATAAGCAAAGCAAGCAAGCAAGAAACAATATCAACCATGAACATAAACTTTTTTCTCCATACAAGAAACAATATCTCATATGATAAGAACAGCACCCCACAGTGTGAACAATACTCATGCACTGAAAAGAGTCTCCATGCAGTTGAATTAACTCTTTAGGAACCTCTGCGTCAAAGGCCAATGAAGCTCCCCCTCTCCTAAAGCTGTAGGTAGAGTAAGCTAAAGAATTTCGACCTGTTTTTGTATCAAATATCTAAGCTTATTTTGATACTCTTTTAAGTAATGGGTAAATAATTTTTTCAACAATAAATTTCAAATGTGCTGCTAACCAATCAAAATAAATAATGCTCGAAATAATTTCTTCTGAGTAATATGTAAACAGTGATCCACTAGGTAATTATCTAAAAAACTCAAAAATTTCACATTTAGAATGATGAACTTGTTACTTCAAGAGGTAGGTGTATAAGACTTGTGTGGAATAATATAAATGACAATTGGAAACCATCAGATCATTATTTCAATACTTATTTATTACATGTATTACAAAAATTTGAAGGGTTAGACTGTAGGCCTATTAGTACACAAATTTATGTGTAGAAACTATTAAGGGTATATGAAATAATATCAAAATCGTTTTCACAATATTAATTAACATGATTAAGATACGTAAATGTGTAAATACATGTAATATGCAGACAGGTGTTTTTACATGTTGCATCCATCTAACATTCAAACACACACACACACACACACATTTCCTTTAATCATGTCAATAATGAGAATAGAAATTTATGATCTATTTAATATTTGATATGTTGAACACAAATGAATGGAGCTATACATTTTTCTTAATATTTTCAGATGACAAACAAGCAAGTGTGTGAAGTTTGCACAGAAAATGAATCCAAATACAAATGTCCAGCTTGCCTTCTGAAATAGTAAGACCATTAATATATAATTATCATTTACTTTGTTACATTGTTACCCCCGTCGTAGTGGAGGGGGCATTAAGTTTTACCCTTGTCTGTCTGTCCGTACGTCCTAAAATTGGTTTCCATTCTCTAACTTTAGTTTGCCTCAACCAAATGATATGAAACTTATATACAATGCTTATTACCACAAAACACAGATCAAGTTTGAATTTTGGTGGCGTCACTTTTACAGTTCTAGAGTGATGCCCCTTTACAAATGGAAAAATTGCTGATTTTTTCGTTTCCGTTCTCTCACTTTAATTTACCTCAATTAAATGTTATGAAACTTTTACACAATTCTTATTACTACAAAACACAGATCAAGTTTCAATTTTGGTGGCATCACTTTTATTGTTCTAGAGGTATGCCCCTTTACAAATGGAAAAATTGTTGAATTTTTCATTTCCGTTCTCTTACTTTAGTTTGCCTCAACCAAATGTTATGAAACTTTTACACAATGCTTATTACCACAAAATACTGATCAAGTTTGAATATTGGTGGTGTCACTTTAACTGTTCCAGAGTTATGCCTGTTTACAAATGGAAAAATTGCTGAATTTTTTGTTTCAGTTCTCTAACTTACGTTGGCCTCAACCAAATGTTATGAAACTTGTACACAATATTTGTTACTACAAAACTCAGATCAAGTACATATTTGGGTAGCGTCACTTTTACCATTCTTCAGTTATGTGCCTTTATAACTGTATATGATATGCAAGCGGGGGCATCATCTGTGTCCATGGGACACATTCCCCATTTATTTAACCATGGGTATAATTTATGTATTAAGAACCATGGACTAAATTGTTGTAAACTTTTTTATGATATATGATAAGAGAAATATACTTGTGCATATTTGTTTGATTGCATAACTACATGAGTTTTGTTTCTATTTTATTTTTCAGTTGCTCATTGCTATGTTACAAAAAACACAAAGGTATGTATAAAACACCTGAATTTTCTAGGATGATTGGTATGAAGTATTGTGCATGTTGTAATATTTATTTAATATGAAAAAATTGTAAACTTGTTCGGTCAGTGATTACAGATCATACCCATTAAAAATATGATGGATTAATTGATTAATTGGTATTTAACATCACTTTCCGTACTATTGGTTATTTTATAGCAGTCAATTTTTATTGGTGGAGTAAGCCAAAGTGCCCTGAGAGAACCAACGACCTTCAGCAGGAAAACTGACAATCCTAGTCAATTAAGATTGGAGTCAAACACTCGTCCCAAGTGTGAGGTTTGAAATCACAGCCTTAGTGTTGTTAGGCTAGTGATACAGTAGTTGAAATAGAAATTAGACAAACAAACATAATTCAGGCTGTCTGAGATTTCTCTTTTGAATTGTTACATATTTTGTCATAATGCAGCCTTTGATTGCTTACTATACGGTGTGTATTTTGTTGGGTTTTACTCATTCATGTCATTGTTGAAGGTTGTACAATGACACTTAGTTGTTAACATTCTTTTGTCTCTTGTTAATGGTTATGTTGTCTCATTGTACATGTTGTAATATATATTAAACATTACTGTAGAATTGATATTATATATATATGTATATGATCGGAAACAATTGGATTTAATAAAATATTCTTATTCATTAGCAAAGATACCACATCTTCATATTTTTATATTAATTTTCAGTTTTTAGTTATGGTATTTCTAAATAATTTGAAACTCCATTCTGCACCATTAATTTGGATGAATCATTCTAGCATTTACTTTTTTCAAAAACATTGAAAAGTTTAATTAGTTTTTGCCTTTATCTATAAGCATTACTAGGCTAATAACAAACCATTTGTGTTTTAGAATTTTTTTATTAAGCATTTCTAAGAATATTGCTTGAACTTTATGTGGTTTCAAATATTTCATTATTTTTCTCAAATTCCCCACAAAAGGCAGTTTATAGGAGTTATTTTTCAAGAGATTCAATGAATTATTTTAAAGAAAGCTATTCAAAATCTGTTGTCACAAACAATTTTCAGGAATAGTAGAGAATCTGATATACATGTACCACCCCTGTTGAAATGAATGTGCAATATAAATGAAAACAATTCCCTTCCTGTCGTGTCCTCCTTTATCAATTTTTAAATCCCTCTCATTTTAGGTAATTTTTAAGGGTTTAAGGTTCCTTTTCCAAATTACCAACTCAATGTAATTTTTTGTACTCCATAGCAAGAGTGGAAGTGAACACAAAGCACGCAAATAGCCTTAAATCATGTAAATTGTTACAACATTATTGAAAATACAAGTACTGCTATACACAATCTCATTGTTATTCACAGAAGCTTGCAAAGACACCAAAGACAAGACAGAACAGTCAAAGAAAAGTGAAGAAGACACCAATGTTATTCATTCAGGTAGCAATTTTATGATTTTCTTGAAACTTTAGCTTTGATTGAATGAATCTCAAAACTTTATTTTCACAATTATTTTTTAGTCTCTTCATAGCTTGATATAGAAATTTATGTTAGATTTTTATACGAGCGCAAAAAATTTTTGCGGTCGTATATTGGTATGACGTTGGCGTCGTCATCGTCGTCCGTCGTCGTCGTCCGAAGAAACATTGGTTTTCGCACACTAACTTTAGTTTAAGTGAATGGATCTCTTTGAAATTTTACCATAAGGTTCAATACCACAAAAGGAAGGTGGGGATTGATTTTGGGGGTTATGGTTCCAACAGTTAAGGAATAAGGGGCCACAAAGGGGCCAAAAATAAGCATTTTCTAGTTTCCAGACAATAACTGTGGAACGGTGTATGGATCTCTCTGAAATTATACTACAAGTTTCCATACCACAAAGGGATGGTTAGGATTTGCTTTGGGGGGTTATGGCTCAAACCGTTAAGGAATTAGGGGCAAAAAAGGGGGAAAAACAAGGTTGTCCTGGTTAAAGGACAAATACTTTAGTACAAAACATAATTTAAAGCAGTGTAAGGGAGATAAATCAAATACATCATTGAAATTATCTCCCTTACACTGCTTTTAAATTATGTATAAAGTAATGGTTAATGAACAATTAAGATAATTTAAAACAGTGTAAGGGAGGTAATCCAAATACAACGTTTTGGTTACTTCCCTTACACTGCTTTTAAATTATGTTTAAAGAAATGCATATTTATAAAGGAAGACCAGTAAAAATATCTGCAAATGTTGCATCTTTTTTTTTTACAAAAAAATCCATATGAAAGATTTGACACTATATTTTAAATTCTATTATAAAATAGATTAAGTTAGCACTATGGTAAATTTAAATGGGTAATTATGGTTGCAAACTCCATTGGAAATTTGATTGAGATTATGACCATATCTTGAGGGAAAGAATTTTTTTGGGGAAAAAAGGGGGGGGGGGGGGGGGGTAAAAAGAAATTGTGGGGGTCAATTTTTTCTCATTTCAGATTTCAGAAAGTAAAAAGAATTATTCTTCAAATATTTTTTTTTTTCAAATTTCAAATGAAAAATTTCAAGAAGTAATCTTTAATTGCACAGTATGGCGCATTAGATTTTAAAAATCTTTGACCACATTTATTTATTTGTTATGCCGAATCTAACCGTGTATTTAGATTTTTAATTTTGGGTCCAGTTTTCAAATTGGTCTACATTAAGGTCCAAAGGGTCCAATATTAAACTTTGTTTGATTTTAACAAAAATTGAATTAATGGGGTTCTTTGATATGCTGAATCTAAACATGTACTGTGGATTCATTTTTATTCGTGGTATACCAATTTTCGTGGGTTTCGTGGGTCACAGCGAACCACGAATTTAAGAATTCAACGAAGAATAATCCCGAAAAATGTGTATGGAGTCGGATGTTTATTTCAGGTTATGTTATGCAGTTCTAGTATAGTGCTGACTAGCGATAAACATTGTAACATAACACGTGTTTTTAATGAAAGAAGATACAAGTATTTTGATTAAATCAATAACAAATATATCGAATATCAGTGATACTTTACTTTTTAAAATTGATTAAAACTTTTCATGGAAAATAACTGCAAGTTGTTAATTACCGTGTCATAGTTTGGTTTACTGCATGGTGATTAAAAATCAATAGGATTAAGTACCGGGATATTGCCCGTAGGTAATATTGTTTATGACAGGAACATTTATTTTCACACCTTTTACTTATATGACTGTTTATTGTATCGTGATTAGGGAAATGAGCTTTCAATCATAGAGTTTTGAATGCCTTATGAAATTCCGACAAGAATTTATAAATTGTAAAACAAACAAATAATTAGTTGTCTCTGTTCATTATTGTGATAGAAGTTTTCAATGAACACTTTAACCTAGAATGACCAAGCGAAGATTTTGACAATTCAAAACTTTTTCAATGAATTCCTTCTTTTTTGTTTGTTTTATTATTGATCAAACAAGGAGGTTATATGATCTCCTAAATCTAAAAGAAATCCACGAATTACATATCTGATTTTTTTTTTTCGTAATCAGCGATCCACGAATTTACGTATACCACGAAACGTCTTTTTTTCTCTATCAACGAAAAAATTAATACCCACGAAAATAAATGAATCCACAGTATTTAGATTTTTGATTTTTGGCCCAGTTTTCAAGTTGGTCCAAATTGGGGTCCAAAATTAAACTTTGTTTGATTTCAACAAAAATTGAATATATGGGGTTCTTTGATATGCTGAATCTAACCATGTATTTAGATTTTTTATTTGTGGACCCCGCTATCAAATTGGTTCATATTGAGGTCAAAAGGGTCCAAAATTAAACTTCGTTTGATTTCATCAAAAATTGAATTATTGGGGTTCTTTGATATGCCAAATCTAACCGTGTATTTAGATTTTTAATTTTGGGTCCAGTTTTTTTAAATTGGTCTACATTAAGGTCCAAAGGGTCAAAAATTAAACTTAGTTTGATTTTAACAAAAATTGAATTCTTGGGGTTCTTTGATATGCTGAATCTAAACATGTGTTTAGATTTTTTATAATGGGCCCATTTTTCAAGTTGGTCCAAGTTGGGGTCCAAAATTAAACTTTTTTTGATTTCAACAAAAATTGAATATATGGGGTTCTTTGATATGCTGAATCTAACCATGTATTTAGATTGTTTATTTGTGGGCCCCGCTATCAAATTGGTTTATATTGAGGTCAAAAGGGTCCAAAATTAAACTTTGTTTGATTTCATCAAAAATTGAATTATTGGGGTTCTTTGATATGCCAAGTCTAACCGTGTATTTAGATTTTTAATTTTGGGTCCTGTTTTTTAAATTTGTCTACATTAAGGTCCAAAGGGTCCAAAATTAAACTTAGTTTGATTTTAACAAAAATTGAATTCTTGGGGTTCTTTGATATGCTGAATCTAAACATGTATTTAGATTTTAGATTTTTGGCCCAGTTTTCAAGTTGGTCCAAGTTGGGGTCCAAAATTAAACTTTTTTTGATTTCAACAAAAATTGAATATATGGGGTTCTTTGATATGCTGAATCTAACCATGTATTTAGATTTTTTATTTGTGGGCCCTGCTATCAAATTGGTTCATGTTGAGGTCAAAAGGGTCCAAAATTAAACTTTGTTTGAATTCATCAAAAATTGAGTTATTGGGGTTCTTTGATATTTCCAATCTAACCGTGTATTTAGATTTGTAATTTTGGGTCCCGTTTTTTAAATTGGTCTACATTAAGATCCAAAGGGTCCAAAATTAAACTTAGTTTGATTTTAACAAAAATTGAATTCTTGGGGTTCTTTGATATGCTGAATCTAAACATGTGTTTAGATTTTTGATTATAGGCCCAGTTTTCAAGTTTGTCCAAGTTGGGGTCCAAAATTAAACTTTGTTTGATTTCAACAAAAATTGAATATATGGGGTTCTTTGATATGCTGAATCTAACCATGTATTTTGATTTTGGACATTGGACCATAATAGGTAAATCAAAAAAATTCAAGTTCTTAGACCACATTCTTTCTATGTCAGAAACCTATGCTGTGTCAAATATTTAATCACAATCCAAATTCAGAGCTTTATCAAGCTTGAATGTTGTGTCCATACTTGCCCCAACTGTTCAGGGTTCGACCTCTGCGGTCGTATCAAGCTGCGCCCAGCGAAGCATTTTATTATTTTTATTTTGCTTTGATTTTTACAAATTTGATCTTTTATGTTGTGTACGTATCTAAAAGGCTGTTTTACTCTATAACATGATAACAACAATTAGGAATGGTGTTGTAAAATGAAAACATGCAAATTATAAAGATTGCAAAATTTATTGCCTTAAGTGTTTACTATATAGCAAAGAAGTTGCAATTTTCCTTATCACTTTTTTTTATTTGTATACATGCATTAACCTTTTGACATTATTTTTTTAAATCATACAGATACTTTTCTATTTTTTTAACAGTTGAACAAACAGAAGAAAGAGTTTCAGTTGAAAAGTTGGAAGAATTAGGTATATATTGTACTTTGATTTTGTAGTGACACATGATGTTCTGGAATTCCCCTTCTACTAAAAATATCATGTTTATATACATGTACTGATAATCTTAACTAGCAGACTATTTAGCACATCTACCCTACAATTATGTTGCAAGTTCATGCACAAGTAAATATGGGCTCAAAATGATCAAAATAAAAATATAAAATCAGAAAAAGATACATTCATGTGAATTTATTTGCTAGTTTTAGAAAACAACAACCATGACATCAACAAAGCTCTTTTTTGTCAGAGTAGGGCAACTTTTACATTTGTTCTAAATAAACGACAATAAAGACAACAACACCCATCAATTACCGCATGGTAGGAGTTTATTCTGGTCGACATGTTTTGCCAACAAGCGTGGCGTCTTCAGGACAATATTACATATGAAATCAAACAGTGAAGTACAAATTTTGCGGTTGTGTGGTTCGCCGAAAGTAACGTAACAATAGAGGTTGTTATGACGACATTATAGATATAAATAGAAAGTGAAAGTAAAATAAAATAAGAATCTAGTTAAGTTAAAAGTGAAAGTTAGTCAATAAAGTCATTAACAATGTGGTTAGCTGCTATTCTTACACGTCTGTGTAGTTGTTCTCATGGAGGTTTCTAGTGGTAATATTGTAGAAATGATGAAAGTATAGATCATACAATGTCAGTTCATTTCCAAATTGGACAACACCCCACTGGCCATCCCTTACCAATTCAACTGGCTTCGCTCCAAGGGAGGTACTGCTTCCAATCGCGTAGGTAATAGGCCGCAATTTTGTGAATTGTAAATCTTGGTAGATTCGTTCATAAAAATTTACTTTGCTAATAAAGTGTCCGTGGATCAAGCTTTTCTTTATAAATATGTTAATCTTCAGTGATGGACTGCTTCTTATTTGTATGTTTCTGTGGTTGCTTCTGTTTCCAAATCTCTCCTTTTTTCCTCGTATCTGGTAATTTTCGGGAACGGATCGAGAACGTTTTAAATGGTCCAGTTTTTCATCCATGCTGGATGGTTGTTAGGTACAACGCTAGTTTGGCAAAGGTGGATCCTTTCGGATGCAGGGGTTCACAGTAAAAAAGTAAACTTGAATTTGAACAAGGTGAACCAACACCTGAAGTGGTAATCGTGCGGTTGGGTAATAGTGGGTGGATACCGAAAGGTATTCACAGTTGTCTTTCACTATATAAGTGAAATAAACGACAATAAAGACAACAACACCCATCAATTACCGCATGGTAGGAGTTTAGTCTGGTCGACATGTTTCGCCAACAAGCGTGGCTTCTTCAGGACAATATTACATATGAAATCAAACAGTGAAGTACAAATTTTGCGGTTGTGTGGTTCGCCGAAAGTAATGTAACAATAGAGGTTGTTATGACGACGTTATAGATATAAATAGAAAGTGAAAGGAAAATGAAATAAGAATCTAGTTAAGTTAAAAGTGAAAGTTTATGAACGAATCTACCAAGATTTACAATTCACAAAATTGCGGCGATCATACACTTCACCCTATTACCTACGCGATTGGAAGCAGTACCTCCCTTGGAGCGAAGCCAGTTGAATTGGTAAGGGATGGCCAGTGGGGTGTTGTCCAATTTGGAAATGAACTGACATTGTATGATCTATACTTTCATCATTTCTACAATATTACCACTAGAAACCTCCATGAGAACAACTACACAGACGTGTAAGAATAGCAGCTAACCACATCGTTAATGACTTTATTGACTAACTTTCACTTTTAACTTAACTAGATTCTTATTTTATTTTACTTTCACTTTCTATTTATATCTATAACGTCGTCATAACAACCTCTATTGTTACGTTACTTTCGGCGAACCACACAACCGCAAAATTTGTACTTCACTGTTTGATTTCATATGTAATATTGTCCTGAAGACGCCACGCTTGTTGGCAAAACATGTCGACCAGAATAAACTCCTACCATGCGGTAATTGATGGGTGTTGTTGTCTTTATTGTCGTTTATTTTACTTATATAGTGAAAGACAACTGTGAATACCTTTCGGTATCCACCCACTATTACCCAACCGCACGAATACAACTTCAGGTGTTGGTTCACCTTGTTCAAATTCAATTTGTTCTAAATGTGAGAGTGAATTAGTTATGTGACACCTAAAGAGACATAAAAGTTTATCATAAGTCTTTTGTTTTTCTTTATCTGACTCCTTGGTCAATCTGTAATAAATTAAATCATATTGTGTCATATTGCAACTTATTTTGGCAAAATTGAAAGCTCAGTCTGAACTGACTGTAATATATGACTTTAACAAAACATAAATGAAATTCATTTTCTGCCTACAGGATGCACATTTAAATATGGGCTCAAAATGATTAACATATATTTCTCAATAAAAAAAAATTACCTTCATGTAAATTCATTTTGCTAGTTTAAAGTGAAGAACAACATTAAAAGCACTATTTTTGTCAGCGTAGGGCTACTTTTACCCAAGGTCCAAATATGAGTTAGTGAATTGGTGTTATGACACGTATAGCAAAGAAGTCACAATGGTTTTTTTTCCTATTTCTTTTATTTGTATACATTGATTAACCACTTGAAATTATTTTTTAAATTTATATAAATACTTTATTTTTTTTTAGCAGATGAACAAACAGAAGATAGAGTTTCAGTTGAAAAATTGGAAGAATTAGGTATTGTTTTCTGATTGATATTATGTAATGTAAACTATTGAAGTTCAGTGATCTCATTGTCATTCTGAAAAAAAAACAATTCATTTGTTTTCTTTGATTCCAATCTCAAAAGATAATGCTTTTGAGCGTTTCAATGAAATAATGATAAGCACATTGAACTGGAGACAGAAAAGCAATTAGGTGCTGTGAGATAGTTGGTTCAGCACTCATATCAAAGACTTTATATGTATGATGATTTTTGACAAAATTTCCCAGAGATGTCGTGATTTGCAATAGAAATCTCAGAGATTTGAGTGTTATCTCCCTTTTTAATAAATCATTTATGTTACTTAAAAAAGACAAGAATTAGTAAATTGCTATGCAAATTTTAGCATCAACTAAAAACTGACACATTCATTCACACAAAAATCTTTCTAATGGTATTCAAAAGTTTTCATCCAACTGTTAAGTAGTTCATCTTTAAGGGCTTCAACAAAAAACATACTTCTACCCAAGAGAAGAAACCAGTTTTAAAGTGAACTCACAGATTTTAGTATCAGTCACTATTGTCACAATTAATGATCTTTTCTTACCTACATGTATGCCATAGTTGCAGAGTGGGAGACATAAGGATACTTATTCATAATGGCATAAATTTTTTTGTAAAGCTTTCAGAAGATCTGGATACTTCATAACTTTAACTTGTATACAGATGCCTTATATTCTACTTTTTAAGTTTTAATCTTGTCCGTCTGTACATTCGTCTGTATGTCCCGAAAATTGGTTTCCGTTCTCTAACATTAGTTTGCTTCAACCAAATGGTATGAAACTTATACACAATGCTTATTACCACAAAACTCAGATCAAGTACGAATTTGGGTAGCGTCACTTTTATTGTTCTGGTTCTGGTTCTTGTTATTTTATTTCTTTTTTTTTATTATACCAACTCCTGTTAAGTAAGTCTTTATCATCTCACTAAAAATACCAGAGTTATTTTCATTTATTAAAAAAAATTAAACTACTGCTCCAATTCTATCCTAAGGCTTTAGCCTTCCATACAGGAAGTATCGATATTAGCTACTTTATCTATACACACTGAAATAAAGCTCACAATAATTCTCATGTCTGTGTACATATACATACATGAACTGTGAACAATTAGGGTTATACCTTTAGTGCAGTTCATGGAAGTATGTAGGTCTTTGAAATAGTATATTTAAACTGTATCAAAAATCTGAACTTCTACAAACTTGAAGACTATTTAGTCTTATTACCTTGGATTCTGTCAAAATCTTACATCAATATTACAGTATTACAATACAGCGAGTTTTACAATGCTTATTCAAATATTATCTAAAAAAATGTTTTTTATCTTATTTTGCAGAGCACTCTGTGCCCTTGAGACAAATGTTAGAGAACCCACATTTACGAACAATATTACAAGATTTAGCCAAATCAAAGAACCCTGCCAAACAAATGGAGAAATTCATGCATGAACCTTTATTTCTGGAATTTGCTGACGAATGTTTACAAACTGTTGAACCTAGTGAACCCGATGTCGAGATGGATTCAGATTAAATAGTCAAATTCAAATGTGTCTTTTTCTGTCAGACATCTTCCATACAGCTGAATGCATTTTAGAGCTATATTTAATACTGTAAATTTGGAAATTGTTGCATGGTTTTTGACATAAGATTGCTGTCAAGCAATCTGAAGACTTTTACCAATGACTCCTTTCCAAGGCTCTCACGTCAACCGTTTTGTGCTTTATATTAAGAAACAACTCAGATTCTTAAGATTGTTCTGTTATAAAGAGTAAAACAAACACACATTGAATTTAAACAACTTTCCCTTAATTTTCTTCTCATAATCCTCATATTTTGATATTTTTTTATTTTCGTTTTTTATTTCCCACCTACGATAGTAGAGGGGCGTTCATTTGTTTGTTCGTTCGACCATATGTACTTGCAAAATAGATTGTAAAAGTTTTTGTAGTAATGTTGTTCTCACTGTGTGGGATATTCAGTATACAAATAATACAATCCTTATTTACTGTGGATTCATTTATTTTCGTGGGTACCAATTTCATGGATTGAGGAAAACTTACACTTTCGTGGATATTTTATTTCGTGGTTTTGCTAAAGTCTGCATACAAGTCTATGGAAAATTTGTAATTCGTTTAACATTTAAATTTGTGGTTCACCTGTACTCACGAAATCCACGAAAATTGGTATCCAATGAAAAATAATAAATCCACAGTAATAGAAAATACTTCTCTAAATGACTGAATTTTAACTGAATAAATGAAATCTAAATGCAGATTCGTTATTGCTTCTATAGGTAGTATCTTTAGGGTGACTAAGGCAAAGAAATATGGTGATCTTTACTTCTCTAAGCAGATGGCCCTGAAGGGTGAACAAATATCATCAAATAATTTATTGGTGCAACATTATGACATGCTCTCCTTGGGTTACAAGTCTAGTTTAGGTTGGATAAAATTAAACTAAAGGCTCTAATGAGCCTGTGTCTCTAACCTGTGCATATTCAACAAAGGACACTCTCACGAGAAATTCATGACAAAAATCTCTTTTTAGTTGATCTTGTATTGGTGATCGTTTTGTCTGTTTAGTTTCTCTCTGTCTTCTTTAGTTTTTGCTCAAAACACAATAGAGGGTAAAAACAAAATCCTCATTTAAGGGCAATCACTCCTATAAAGAGTGACAGTCTACTAACTATATCGGCAACATTTGACTTGTTTGTAGTTCTTGCCTTGCTGATCATTTTTGTTATTTAAAGATTTTATTTATCTATTATCGTTTTTATCATATAAGGCAAAACGCAAAACAAATGGTAAAAATCTTCATTAAAGGGCAATAACTCCAATAAGGAGTCATCAGACGATTTCCTCTATATTGTCTTAATTGGCTGGTCATTTTTGCTTATTTAAGCAAAAAATTGGTAAAAATCATCTTCAAAGGGTGATAACTCTAACAAGGAGTCGACTGACGCTTTCGACCATGTGGACCTTGTCTAGCTGATTATTTTTGCTGTTTAAAGTTTCTCTGTAGCTATTATAGATTTCAAGATAATAGGCAAAAGTGAAAAAAAAAATGGTAAAATTTGTCATTTAAGGGCAATAACTCCTATAAGAAATTCCCAGACAGTTTTAATGTATATGAACAATTGGTAGAGCTCAACATTCTGAACATTTTTGCCACAGTTAGATTTTCTTTTTTTATAACGGTTTTCAATTAAAATAGACAAAACTTGCATTTTACCCTATGTTCTATTTTTAGCCATGTCAGCGATCTTGGTTGGCAGGCAGGGTCATCATAAATATTTTTCAAACTAGATACCCCAATGATAATTGTGGCCAAGTTTGGTTAAATTTGGTCCAGTAGTTTCAGAAGAAAAGATTTTTGTAAAAGTTAACGGACGACAGCGACGGATGCCAAGTGTTGAGAAAAACTCACTTGGCCCTATGGGCCAGGTGAGCTAAAAAGAATCTTTTTCTTTGAATTATTTTGTTCATGCTTCGGTATTGTAATTATACTTATAGGTAATAATAAAGTACAAATATATGACAAAGTTTATTTTCTAAATATAATATAGAGATAACAAAATATGATAAAATGTTTTGTATATAAAAAATAATAAACATTTTGTCCAATACTGCCCTTTGTTTTATAAAAGTAACAATATTGAGAAATATAGTAGCAATACTAGTTATCAACAAAGAAATGGGTTGAACAACAAAAGAAACTAAACAAATTAAAACACAAAAATATTAATATTGTCTTTACCCACTAGGCAACATTTAGTGTAACTGAAATTAGTTCTACAGTATTGCAGTTATAAATATCTGACACAGATAGTCACTTTATTTTATTCCATTGAAATTCATGCACATGAGAAAGTTTAATAGACTTAACACACATGTGAAGAATAATTCTAATTTGAATTTATCTATGTTTTGGCTGGATTGGACAAAGTCCAAAACCAGCTTATAGAATGGTAATGTAGGGCAAGCACATACATTGAAGTTGTCATACCTCTTACTTGCTATTAATGTTTAGAAAATGGGAGCGCTGATAGATTTGATTTTAATCAGACTGTTGTGATTTGTTTAAATAATTTTTTCTCATTTTTTCAGATTTAGGAACAAAGTGTTTTTAACCAAGATCTTTGGAAATTCGCAGAGTTTGCTTATAACTGAGGTTGTGCATTTTCAAAATGGAGTTGTTTAAAGAATTTTTCCTAATTTTACATGACAAAATGCATTCTTATTAAACTAATTTTTATTTGCAGTAATTCTCTCCTGCAATTGTCTACGGTTGTCTATTTGTTTAATACATTTCAATGATCAAATGTTTAAAATGATGACTACTACCATATTTGTTGCAAAATGCAGAGATTCAGTCCAAAGCTGACATGAGACATCATACAAAATTTGCATGTATAAAATGCAGGCAATTGTTGAATAAGTAAATTCACTTACTTTCTCTATTTTCTATTTACAAAATATGATACTTCAATAAGAGTAATGCCCTATTTGGCAAGATATATTCATATAAGCTTTTTCCTTTTTTTTACATCTTATTTTTTTAAATATTTATAAAATGTAAACATCATAAACTATTAGAATTGTCATCCTGCATATAACATTGCAAAATAATATATATTTTTTTTAATAATGGCTCAAATTAGATTTAAATAAAGTACCCTGGAATGTTTCTGCAATTTGACTATTTAAAATAATATATTCTGATATTCTGGATAAATTACAATGCAAGTCCAGCTTTCTAAAGCTTAACATGTGATTTAAAATAGAACTATAACACACTTAAGTTAATGCCATAGGAGGAACCATCCTATTAGAGACAATGTTTGCAAATCTCAAGATACATTAGATATGGGAGACAACTGTTGGAATCACAAAAACATTATATATATGAGAGAAAACATCAAGACAAAATGAGGGATGGACAAAGGTGTTTTCAATATAGCCAGTCTTTGTAGAGTGGGGTATAATATAAACAAAAAAACAAAAAAAACAAGACTTACTTTATATTAATATTCATTATAAAAATAAGGAGATGTGGCATGATTACCAATGAGACAACTATCTTGTTATTAATATTCATGTCTGAATAATACCATTACAAAGATTGAGCAATGCAAACATTTTTCCAAATATTGAAAACCCCTTTACAAAAGTACACCACAGTGTATATTACTAAAATACAATGGTCCTAATTATTGAAGATATTTGTTTATTTTGGATGCACATTTGACAGATTTTTAACTTCTCACCAGGGAAACTCATACTTGTAACAGTTCATGTACAGGATATGTCAATAACATTGTCTTGAAATAGCAAAGACTAAACTTTATCGGAAACCAAGCTTTTCAAAACTTATGTTTATGGCTAATCATATATTTATATCTTATTCTAATTAAAATATCTTACAATTCATTTTATTCTGTATAAATACCAAATTTAAGTATTTGATTTTATTGTGATCATAATTCCACACCCTTCCCCTAAATATTATGCTTACATTGTAAATCTAAACAAAACAAAACACCCTCTATGAAGCTACAAGCTTCCACCAACAATATCCTTCACTAAAACTACAAAACATAAACATATAAATATATCCTTTTACCAAAATACAAAATTTTAATTATCTAAATGCAAGCATGTAGAAAAAAAATTTGTGTTACTATAAATTCACAACTAAAACCTATATTTATTGGTTTGAATTGCCAACAACATGTGATAAGGCAGTATTGATTAATTTGAATTCAGTACAGTACATTTTAATAACCAATATACCAAATGAATTACTGAGATCTCATATTGTTGTGACATACTGTAAACCAACTAATTTTCGTGTACAATTTATTTTTTTGCGACTTTCGCGAGAAGAAAAATAACGCGGATATAAATCGCTGTGAATACGTTAAACTTGGATCTTTCCTACTTAACTACATCAACTATATTTGAAAATCGCGAAATTAAATCGCGAAGTAGGAGAGCAATGGCTAAAAGCGAAATAAAGATTCCGTGAAAATAAGTTGGTTTACATTATACAATAACCCTGATAACAAAATGCTTTTGCAATGAATGAAACAATTTAAGCTTTGGTTACAATATTATATCAAAATCCCTCAAAACAGAATTCTCAAAATATTCAAGGTAAGCTGAAATTTCTAGTACCATAAACATACCAGCCCCAATTCTTTTTCTTAATAAATGTGTAATTTGCTGTGTAATCTTTGAACACAACTATGACTTTAAATTTCCTTTCATTTTAATATTGAACCACAGCAATGGACACACTTTATTATTATTATTCTTAGTCTTCAGTATCAAATGACCAATATATGTTATGGACCCTGTGAGCTCCTTTCAATAATTCAGTTCTAAAATATGACAATGTTAATGAATTACTGATATAGTTTGATTCATTATAGATTCATATCTTTTCTTTAACAAGTGTGCAGACATTTTGGGTTGTCTCTGCCTCGTAAACAGTCCTTTTCTGTTTCCTACCACTCTGGTTATATCTGCAAAACAACAAAATAGTATTTTAATATAACCCCACTAAATGTTGTTATTATTGATTTATTTATCTTCATGGATAACAATTGTCTTGGATGGAGGAAAAATTGTTTTTTGTCGTAATTTTTTGTAGAAATTTGATACTTTGTTGAACATTTGAATTTATGGTTATGAAATCTACAAAAATAGGTACACCATGAAATAATAATGAATCCAAGGTATTATATAGATATAGGAAGATGTGGTATGAGTGCTAATGAGACAACTCTCCATCCAAGTTACAATTTATAAAAGTAAACGATGAAAATTTCATATCTCTGCAGGACATTTTTAATGTGTCCTAACTGTTTAGGAATTAGGGGCCAAAATTAAAACAAGCATTTTTCTTGTTTCAGGTCAATAACTTGTGTATAAATGTATGGATCGCTATGAAATTGTACCACAAGGTTTCATACCTCAAAAGGAAGGTTGGATTGATTTTTGGGGTTATGGCCCAATTGCAAACCGTTTGGGAATTAGGGGCTTAAAACAAGGATTATCTGGTTTCCGGACAAATAACTTGAGTATAATTCTATGGATCTCTATGGAAATGTACCATAAGGTTCCATACCAAAAAAGGAAGGTTTGTGATTGATTTTGGGGGTTATGGCCCTAACCATTTAGGAGCCAAAAACAATACTTTTCTAATACTTTGTATAAATTGCTTATTTCTTGCTTGACCAATTTCAATGGGGTTTATTTAATTGAAAGTCTTGAATTCTTGGGGTTCTTCAATATGCTGAATCAAACCGTGTGTTTTGATTTTGGGCCCCATTTCAAAGTGGTCCACATTGAGGTCCATAGGGTTCAAAATTAAACTTTGTTTGATTTCATCAAAAATTGAATTATTGGGGTTCTTTGATATGCTGAATCTAACAGCTGTGTATTTAGATTTTGAATTTTGGGCCCAATTTCAAATTGGCCCACATTAAGGTCCAAATGGTCCAAAATTAAACTTAAGTTTGATTTTAACAAAAATTGAATTCTTGGGGTTTTTGGATATGCTGAATCTAATTTTTTTTTTCTTTTTTGATTTCTGGCCCAGTTTTCAAGTTGTTCAAATGGGGGTCAAAAAATTAAACTTTGTTTGATAGGAACAAAAATTGAATATATGCGTTTTTTTGATATCCTTAATCTAACCGTGTAAATTGAAATTGTTTAACATTTCAGAGCGGTATAATACTGTTACTTTAATTATTCATCCCTTATTTTATTGATTTTGTATTTACATTGTATCATAGATCAAATTTATTTTTTCAGTGTATGTTCACTTGTGTGAATATGTCTTTTGATTGAATTAAGCCATTTCAATTGATATTTTATAGTGTGTCTTTCTATGTTGTGATGTTTCACTATTGTCTCAGATAAGGGTTAAGGTTTGGTACCGTTAAAACGTTTAAACCCACTGCAATTGTTTGCACCTGTCTTAAGTCAGGAATCTGATGTTCAGTAGTTGTCGTTTGTCGATGTGGTTCATAAGTGTTTCTCGTTTCTTGTTTTTTATATAGATTAGACCATTGGTTTTCCCGTTTGAAGGGTTTTACACTAGTAACTTTTGGGGCCCTTTATAGCTTACTGTGTGGTGTGAGCCAAGGCTCCGTGTTGAAGACCTTACTTTGACCTATAATGGTTTACTTTTATAAATTGTGACTTGGATGGAGAGTTGTCTCATTGGCACTCATACCACATCTTCTTATATCTATTTAGATTTTGGATTTTGAGGCCTGTTATCAAATTGGTCCAAAATTAAACTTTGTTTGATTTCATCAAAAATTGAATCTTTGGGTTCTTTGATATGCTTAATCTAACCATGTATTAAGATTTTGGATATTGGACCATAATAAGTAAATGTCCAATTTCAAATTTTTAAGTTGTTAGACCACATTCATTCTTTGTCAGAAACCTATGCTGTGTCAAATATTTAATCACAATCCAAATTCAGGGCTGTATCAAGCTTGAATGTTGTTTCCATACTTGACCCAACTGTTCAGGGTTCGACTTCTGCGGTTGTATCAAGCTGCGCTCTGCAGGGAATTTTATTGTTATATGGTATATTTATCACAAGATATTTTAAAATACCTGTGTAATATTTTCCAAATTTAAATGCATTGTGACAAGGGCTTCCAAAACAGTCATATTTCCAGGAAAAATCTGTTTCTTATAAATAAATGTCAGGATATACTATATCAACACTGAACAGGATCTGACAAATAATTCATTTGATTAAGATATAAAATTGTTGTTTAGACAATCTTTTATGGCTGTATAGTTTTTTCCAAACAGACACATATTTTGGTCGTAAAAATGACAAAGAGTAACAACTGTAAAAACAAGTCTAATTTAACTAGCAAAGGTTAGATAGCTGTTATTTACCTATACACCTAACGGGAAAAAAAGTACATATCAATCAGTCTTTTTGAAGTTGTCTTTCATGTTCGTATGGTTTGCAACTTATTCATTTTAGCAATAAATGATGTAGTATGTCAAAAGAAAATCAAATTTAAAAGGTTTTTGAGAAAAAAAAAATGACTGGTGTTTGTATACATACCTATGCATGCAAGTGTGAAAATATGCATACAAAAGTTTTCAAAATGAATAAATAAGTCATGTAAGTTGCATGACTTATCATATGTTTTTTTAAGAAACATGAAAATATACATAACTTTCGGTGCTTAATAAATGTGCATGTCATACACAGATTATATGTATTCTGTCTCTCTTCCAAGATTTATAACTGTCAGGTCAACAGCTGGTATAAGGTTAACATATGCCAGTTATAAAAACTTTTTTGTCAGAATGCTATTGCATTAATAGTATAACACGTAATCTAGTCCCTTGACTTTCCGCACTTCATATTATCACTGTTAGATAACTGAACTCATATAAATAGAGGAGTTACTGCCAGTAAATGGAATAAAAAATATGAAGTATATATTTAAGCTGTTGTGACAAAGTTCCTTACCCTTGATTGGTCTGATTGCCTTTAGTTATGAAAGCAAAAGAGATTGATTTGGGATCATTTGGGGTGGGGTCTATTTGTGTAGTGCTTACAATATTTCTAGTTCATCACATAAATTCATTTAAAGCATTAAGACGAGCTTAAAGGGCAACCGGCGTATCATGTGCTCATGGCACAGCTCTTTATTCATTTGGCCATGATGTTCTCTCTTTCTTAGACTTATTGTTTTTGATTGCCCTTCCCCTGTATCTTCTCCCCTCCCTTTTAAAGCATTTAGTTTTATAGCCTATATTATGGATCATACCTTCCTTTGTCATAAAGTCAGCAAAGTTCCAGACCATTTCTCCAACTAAGAATTTCTTCCTCAGCTTGTCAAATGCTGCATGATACTCAGAGAGAAATTCTACTTGATATTCTTCAGTAAACACAAAGGATGGACTCTAAAAAAGAAAACTGGCTCACTGATTGATAGTCAACTTCCTTACAACACCAAAGCAAAGGATCAACAAAAACAAACTATATTACAATTCAGAGTAAACATCAATATGAGACAAAAAATTCATCTTCTGCTACTTCTGTATAATTATATACCAAATGTAATCCGGCTACAGTATCTGGTCCATTAACTGTTACTATAATTATACCTGCTACAGTATCTGCTCCATATTCTTTTACTATAATTATACCTGATGTAAACTTGCTACTGTATCCGCTCCATATTCTGTTACTATAATTATACCTGATGTAATCCTGTGACAGTATCTGCTCCATATTCTGTTACTATAATTATACCTGATGTAATCCTGCGACAGTATCTGCTCCATATTCTGTTACTATAATTATACCTGATGTAATCCTGGTGCAGAATCTGCTCCATATTCTGTTACTATAATTATACCTGATGTAATCCTGCGACAGTATCTGCTCCATATTCTGTTACTATAATTATACCTAATGTAATCCTGCTACAGTATCTGCTCCATATTCTTTTACTATAATTATACCTGATGTAAACTTGCTACTGTATCTGCTCCATATTCTGTTACTATAATTATACCTGATGTAATCCTGTGACAGTATCTGCTCCATATTCTGTTACCATAATTATACCTGATGTAATCCTGCGACAGTATCTGCTCCATATTCTGTTACTATAATTATACCTGATGTAATCCTGGTGCAGAATCTGCTCCATATTCTGTTACTATAATTATACCTGATGTAATCCTGCGACAGTATCTGCTCCATATTCTGTTACTATAATTATACCTAATGTAATCCTGCTACAGTATCTGCTCCATATTCTTTTACTATAATTATACCTGATGTAAACTTGCTACTGTATCTGCTCCATATTCTGTTACTATAATTATACCTGATGTAATCCTGCGACAGTATCTGCTCCATATTCTGTTACTATAATTATACCTGATGTAATCCTGGTACAGATCTGCTCCATATTCTGTTACTATAATTATACCTGATGTAATCCTGCGACAGTATCTGCTCCATATTCTGTTACTATAATTATACCTGATGTAATCCTGCAACAGTATCTGCTCCATATTCTGTTACTATAATTATACCTGATGTAATCCTGCAACAGTATCTGCTCCATATTCTGTTACTATAATTATACCTGATGTAATCCTGCAACAGTATCTGCTCCATATTCTGTTACTATTATTGGAATATTGTGATGTTCCCGCCATTTATTCATATCATATTCCACTTGTTTTTGAATAAGTTCAGTATGGCCACAGTCTGAATACCATGCAAAATATCTGTTTATACATAATATATCTACATACTTGGTCTGAAAAATAAAAATTATTTATCAAATGTTTTATAAAGACTCAAATAATAGAAATAGTATTTTTGTATTTGTTAAAATATTATAATTCATGGTCAATGTAATAAAAAGAATAACTTATCCAAGAAGTTAGATATCGAAAAAGATTCAACTTGTGACCGAACAACACTGATGATTAATTATGCGTGTATTAGTGAATTAATGCATTGTTCGGTAACTTGTTGAATATTTTTTTCTATATTTTAATTCTCGGATTAGTTGTTCTATAATTGTTTTATAGATTATATAATACCTACAGCATAGTCACCATTAGGTCCAACAGCTGCTACAAATGTAACCGGTCTTGTTGGGTCTAAATTCTTTGTATGCATAATAACAGATCTACAAATTATCACATTTATGATTACTGATAAGAACAAAAGAAATGTAACGAAATATCTAATGTGTGAGAGTTAATCGCTTAAATCTATGACATTGGCAAATGAGAACTAGAATGAGAATAGTTTTCAACTAAATGTCACGATTTAAATTTCACTTATTTCCCTTGGTTGTCATGTTGGAGGTGTAACTGGTTGATTATCTTATTTGACAAACTAAATTAAAGTATGTGGTACAATCAAGTCTAAGAAGAGTTGTCTATTTGATAATCATACCACATCTTCTTATTTACAAGACATCTTTATTAGATCTTAGTGATGAACAGGGCTTAATCAAATGTAAATTGTTCAGAAAACAACTATTTCTAAAGATCGAGAAATGGAATTTGGATAATTGATGAAGGAATTTGTGTATGTTGACATTCAATATATATAGTGGGAAAGGGAAATAACTCTTTCTCAAATTATGTTGAACAAAAACTATCTTTATTGTTCATATGTATATAAACAAAATGAAACTGTAGAGTTGGTAAAGTTTCAATATAATCTGCTGATTACTCTTACATGTGTTGAAATCTATATACAGGTGTAAAACAAATGAATGGACATCACTTGTTCTAAATAACCTATACTTTGATTTAATTGGTAATTACTTGAGACCAGAAGATTAAAAGCTCCAATAACAACCTTCTCTTAAAATGCACCAAAGCAAAATAAATTGATCTAATCAATATAGATCTATAGGTAAATTAATTAAATCATTTTACTTGTAACTCACTTGAAATAATGCTCTGCCTGTGGTACTGTGACTAATGGTTCGTTAGCTACAGACCAGATAATGACTGCTGGTCTATTCTTGTCTCGTCTAACCATCTCGTTCATTACTTCTAAATGATGTGTCAGTGAAGCATTGCCAAAATTATGAACACTGAAATGAGAAAAACATTCTGAAATAAACTTTTTTCAATCAACATACTGTAATATAGAATCGAGTCTTATGTGTGTACACAGAAGAACAATTCATTAGCATATACATTTTTTGTAGAAAGCGATGTCTAAAATTCAGGGCCTTTTATAGCTTGCTATGTGGTATGGATTTTGCTCATTATTGAAGGCTGTAGGGTGACCTATAGTTGATAACTTCTACGTCATTTGGTCTCTGATGGAGTTGTCTCATTGGCAATCATATCCTATTTTCTTATTTTTATATAGAGAATAATACATGGTAAATTCTGTATCACATGCTGTATCAGCCCTAGTAACCAATATCAGTCAGAGGACCAAAGGCCCAAGGGCAGATATTGGTTGATGGTGATACAGTATGTGGTACCGATTTTATCATGTATTAATCACTTTATCATATATTTAAACAGAGAATTTTAGTTTTTCCAAATTGAAGTCTTCTTCCGAAAATTATATTTGTTGAGGATTGATATAGCATCCAATATGGATTTGACATCACACAGTAGACAGACCCAGTGCCGACTTTTTAAGTAGCGCTCTGGGACCAGTATTGCAACAGCACCACCATTGCATTCAGGCTCCTAAAAGAATGTGCAAGTGTGTATGGCCCACCACTAAAATGACAATATAAACAAGTAAAACTTGATGTACTGAACAGTATTAGTTCTTAGTTCTTCATTTTAACTTTCATGTGTGCTTCTTCTAAGCAATTATGGTTCATGTAGTGCTGTTGATGTTTATTTATTGTTTTCATTTTAATTGAATTGATAGTTGAAATAAATAGAATAAATGTGTTACATGTATTTTGATATTGAACTTAAGATCCATGCATATCACCATAGATGAAATTTACCAGTATACATTTACATACAAATTGTTGCATGCATGGTGAAACATATCTGATAAAAGGATCTGCCATCAATACCTACTTCTCCAAATTACAATTTAAAAACATAGATTACAAATTCATAATGTACTCCATAAATGATTTCATATTACAAAATATTTGCTATGACTGCATGAACCCAAAAAATACACAAAATTTCCGAATCAAAAACATGTATTATTTTCTTAGAAAACCTACATCAGTATCAGGCCACTTTGGCCACTTAATTAGCTGATAATAATAAAGTCTGAAAGCTCAACAGTGGAATATAAAAAAAGTAACTTTTGTGAGGTCCTGATTTGTCTAGATGCTGATGTGTTTTGATACTAACTGTCTTTCTTGGGTGCCCAAATGTCTATCACGGATGCCGAATTGTCCTGGCACCGATTTAACTTGGTGACAAAGTGTCTAGAATTGGTCCATGTTATGCCCAGTTCAGTTCACCCTACAGAGGAAATGAGAGGGGAAAACCCCCATTTTTCTCACTCTGAGATGATCAGTTTTTGTTCTTATTTTAAATTATGCAAACACAATCAGACAATTAGAAAATCGAAGTCCGATATGAACAAATGTCAGGCATGGTTGAAGTAAATTCTGTTTTTCTTCCATTTCCACTCCTTGTAGACTGTGTCTTAAACCTCTAGTTGTCGCTAATTAAATGTGGTTACATTTTGTGACATGCCAGGAAAAACAGCAACTGAACGTCATATGTCCAACTTTGTCATTCGATATATGATGTCATGCTTTGATGACGTTACATTAGAGACCTATTGAAGAAAAAGATTACACTATATAATCTTTGATGTTTTATTTGGAAGAGATGCTGTAATGAACAAGTGCTTGCATAAATAAAAAATATATGGGCACATGTGTCCCTCCGGCAGCAAAATTAAATATATGGGCACATGTGTCCCTCAAGCAGCAAGAGGGTTAACATGTCTGACATTGGCGTCTGCTGAAATTTCAAGCGGATAACAACTGAGGAGTTCCAAAAACAGTCTCAAGATGTACCAAAAGGGGTGTGATACAGGGTATGCAATACAGGTCTGGAGTTTCCATCTTTATCAAATATTCAAAATCGCAGTAACAAGTACTTAATATATGATAGATACATATATTTCATGATGAAACACAACCTGACAATTAGATCAGAGTAATGTATCATTTTCAGGAATACATGAATTAACAGAGGAAATACCACTTGCTTGAGGTATGGTTAAAGGCTCGAATATGTTGTGATGATAGGAGGAGTTTAATTCATGGCAATATTACTTTTCCAGCATTACATTTGAAATACACTATACATTATAGCATTCTTGTAATAAGTTCAGTATCACATTCTTAAGACATACAAAAAATGCAGTAAGTGTGTAATATATATGCTTACAGACTCAAACCTGCCCTATCTATTCTGGTTTTAGTGTGGAAAACCTCATCATAAAACCAGCGCTATATGACAACTAAAATTATCACTTAGCTTCATCCATGTATGTAATAACTTTTACAATACACTCAATATAACACAATTATACATAAAAATATTCAGTACTGGTATATACATACGAGGTAATTCCTACACCAGGACTTTCATCAATAACTGCAATGCCTTGTTGATCACACTGATCCATGATTTCCTCAGCATAAGGGTAATGTGATGTTCGTATACACGTAGCTCCTAACCATTTCAGTAAGTTGAAATCTTTAGCTATAAGAGCATAATCTAGTCCTTTACCTCTTATCTAGAAGATAAAATATTTTCCTGAAAACATTTAGTAAAGAAATAATATTTTTTTGCCACTCAAAGCACTGTCATTTCAATATTTGTGCAGTTAGCAGTCTTCATTTACTTTAGGAGACCAAACCCATATAGCGCAATACATTTATGTACTACTAAATTAACACTAACCCTAAAAATAAGCCTTACCCATACCTAACCCTAACACTAGCCCTTAAACTTAATCCTAACCATAAAATGAACCCAACCTCTAAAGTACAGGGTTCCCTATAGTAAATGAAGGTCCAGTCTCCATTTCTAGTGAAATTTTGAATTAAGCATACATCAGAAATTTATGGCTAATCCCAAACAATATTCAGGATGAGAACATGTGGTATAAATATAAACCTGTCCTGTAGTAAACAGATGGTTATGCTGGGTAACCAGGTGACAGTAAGAAGTGCCATCCCAGCCTGTCCTGTAGTAAACAGGTAGTTATGCTGGGTAACCAGGTGACAGTAAGTAGTGCCATCCCAGCCTGTCCTGTAATAAACAGGTAGTTATGCTGGGTAACCAGGTAACAGTAAGAAGTGCCATCCCAGCCTGTCCTGTAATAAACAGGTAGTTATGCTGGGTAACCAGGTAACAGTAAGAAGTGCCTTCCCAGCCTGTCCTGTAATAAACAGGTAGTTATGCTGGGTAACCAGGTGACAGTAAGAAGTGCCATCCCAGCCTGTCCTGTAGTAAACAGATAGTTATGCTGGGTAACCAGGTAACAGTAAGAAGTGCCATCCCAACCTGTCCTGGAGTAAACAGGCAGTTATGCTGGGTAACCAGGTAACAGTAAGTAGTGCCATCCCAGCCTGTCCTGTAGTAAACAGATAGTTATGCTGGGTAACCAGGTAACAGTAAGAAGTGCCATCCCAACCTGTCCTGGAGTAAACAGGCAGTTATGCTGGGTAACCAGGTAACAGTAAGTAGTGCCATCCCAACCTGTCCTGGAGTAAACAGGCAGTTATGCTGGGTAACCAGGTAACAGTAAGAAGTGCCATCCCAGCCTGTCCTGTAGTAAACAGATAGTTATGCTGGGTAACCAGGTAACAGTAAGAAGTGCCATCCCAGCCTGTCCTGTAATAAACAGGTAGTTATGATGGGTAACCAGGTGACAGTAAGAAGTGCCATACCAACCTGTCCTGTAGTAAAAAGGTAGTTATGCTGGGTAACCAGGTAACAGTAAGAAGTGCCATCCCAGCCTGTCCTGTAGTAAACAGGTAGTTATGCTGGGTAACCAGATGACAGTAAGAAGTGCCATCCCAACCTGTTCTGTAGTAAAAAGGTAGTTATGCTGGGTAACCAGGTAACAGTAAGAAGTGCCATCCCAGCCTGTCCTGTAGTAAACAGGTAGTTATGCTGGGTAACCAGGTGACAGTAAGTAGTGCCATCCCAGCCTGTCCTGTAATAAACAGGTAGTTATGCTGGGTAACCAGGTAACAGTAAGAAGTGCCATCCCAGACTGTCCTGTAGTAAACAGGTAGTTATGGTGGGTAACCAGGTGACAGTAAGAAGTGCCATCCCAGCCTGTCCTGTAGTAAACAGATAGTTATGCTGGGTAACCAGGTAACAGTAAGAAGTGCCATCCCAACCTGTCCTGTAGTAAACAGATAGTTATGCTGGGTAACCAGGTAACAGTAAGTAGTGCCATCCCAACCTGTCCTGGAGTAAACAGGCAGTTATGCTGGGTAACCAGGTAACAGTAAGAAGTGCCATCCCAGCCTGTCCTGTAGTAAACAGATAGTTATGCTGGGTAACCAGGTAACAGTAAGAAGTGCCATCCCAACCTGTCCTGGAGTAAACAGGCAGTTATGCTGGGTAACCAGGTAACAGTAAGAAGTGCCATCCCAGCCTGTCCTGTAGTAAACAGGTGTTATGCTGGGTAACCAGATGACAGAAAGAAGTGCCATCCCAACCTGTCCTGTAGTAAACAGGTAGTTATGCTGGGTAACCAGGTGAGAGTAAGAAGTGCCATCCCAGTGGCAAACCTTATTCTCCGTCTCTGCTTTAACTATGTAATTACCTAATGCTTAAGGGAAAACATTAAATAATGTTTTTGGTGTACCTGGCTTTGGAGATTGATACCCCAATCTCCACCACTAAAGATGAATCTTTTTTTCACAATTCCATCTATATGGGCTTTTATCCTTATTAAATCAAATTATGAAAGATGTCAAGTTTTTTCAATCAAAAGTGAAATGTTTCTTGTTAACTATCATCATAATATAAGCAATTTTTCTACTGAAAGAAAATACCATTTTACACATTTTAACTAAGTACAAATACAGGATTTTCTTGACAACTCTACATCATCATCATCATCATCAATCCCCTTTGTTAAACATAACACTACAGTGTATAGCACAAAGGAAAAAATCATTTGATTTTAGCCTTACAGTTTTCAATTTCAATTTTACAAAAACAAAATTTATTTCTCTAAAAATTTGAATAGATGAGATTCCAATTTGGATTTTATAGATGAACTGCCATAGTTGAACTGGGGTCATTCAGGGGAAAACTTGTCATTGGACATTATGACGTGAAAATATTTGCTTTGTGACGTCAAATTTTTCTTGCAAAAAGCATCAGTTGGTAAATCATGCATAAGGAAAGTTTTTAAGTTAAATTTAAGAAAAGCTTACATCAGAATCTTCATGTTTTGGTACACCATGACAATAAAATGGTTTGTTGTTTATCAGTAGTTGTGTACTTGTGACTTTGACGGTCCTTACACCAAATGGTTGTCTGTATACATCTATACCAGCACTAGATTTCAATATCACCTAAAATAAAATTTTGTCAGCAAAAAAATAGATATATCAGATCTATAAATAACTCAACATTAGTTGCTATCATCTACATCATGTGGTCTCCTTATCTTAAATCAATTTGAAAATAGCGTATACACTATTTTTAGAAGTTTTATGTATATGTCACAACCGAGATACTAGCATTACCATGATTACTATTACTCTTTAATGCAGGTTTTCTGACGTTTTAACATACTGTATAAATATATCATCATTGCGAAAAATTGTGACAGAAAATGACTCACAAAAATAAAATATTGCATTTCAAAAATTTGAAAGCATTATGATTATATTTTTTGTATGCAACATTTCCTGAAATCGCACTAATTAATCTAAAATTTGTCTATTTTGTTCAACATTATTACACTAATAAATGTAATAAAAAATTTCTGAATTTACAGAATTCAAAACCTTCTAAGGTAAGTGTTGAAAAAGATAATGAACAGAAAATAAATCTTTACGTATATGTGAATGAAAGGAGTATAAATAATGAGATATCAACCAAACTACATAAATAACCACAAGACAGAGCAGCGTGCAATCTCCAACAACTGACATTGTAACATTGACTAAGCTCAAATCTTGTAATTTAAATTCAATAATGACCAAATATATTTCAATGAGAACTGTTCTCCATCTGTCCAAGTTATTCATGTTCTATAGACACTCAAAAGGCAAAAGATGTATATTGTGCATGAGTCTCCATCTGTCCAAGTTATTCATGTTCTATAGACACTCAAAAGGCAAAAGGTGTATATTGTGGATTAGTCTCCATCTGTCCAAGTTATTCATGTTCTATAGACACTCAAAAGGCAAAAGGTGTTTATTGTGGATTAGTCTCCATCTGTCAAAGTTATTCATGTTCTATAGACACTCAAAAGGCAAAAGATGTATATTGTGGATTAGTCTCCATCTGTCCAAGTTATTCATGTATATACTGTGGATTCATTATTATAGATAAACCAAAAATTTAAATATTCAATGAAGTATTAATTTTCTATAGGCTAGAATGCAGACTTTGGCAAATCCTTGAAATCAAGTATCCAGAATACACAACTTTTCCTCAATCCAAGAAAACTGGTACCCACAAAACTAAATAAATCCACAGTACTTTACCTTCAATAAAGAGCTTTACTGCATCATATAATTGTGTGGATATCCAGACCAGAACTTGTTCAGTATAGTTATCTCCCTTTTTGTATGTTGATAACAAATATTTGCCAAATAAAATGTTGAACTCTTTACCAATTTTTTGAGGGAAGGTATTTTTGAACTTGCTTTTTGGTAAAGGTTTGATTTTAGTAGAAGAATGCTGAAAGTTGACGGTGTTTTTGAACTAATGTCTAATTGACATTACTACCACAAAATTATTCTAGTTCTTAATCAAATATTCATGTTGCGTATTTTAATTAATTCAAATAATATTCATCAGAAAAATCTGTCGTCTTGTTATCTAACAATCACCTTTAATGTATACATATAAGCAGTGGGCTTTTTACTCATACCAAATGGCCACCACAGATTAACATTGCGTATAATCATCCGTCCATTCTGTTTAATACTAGTAGCAACAGGAATGCCATCTGCATCAAGAACTTCGACTGTAATGGTGGTGTCATTTGATGGTCCTCCTCCAGTAATTGAATAATTCACAATACCTGTATATTCATTAAATAATTATCCAAAATGTATCAATTTGACAGTCCTAATAGAATATACATATAAAAATAATGAGATATGGAATGATTGCCAATGAGACATCTATCCACCGGAGTACAAATGAAGTGGAAGTAAGAAATCATAGGTCACAATATATGGTTGTGTTTATAAATACATATTTTCAAATGTTACTATTTTTCAGGTATTTACAGGAAGTGCTAGAAAAACTACATCGGGCAGTTGAAACATGCAGATTGAACATGTTGAAAGCTTTTTTCTTTAATCATTTTTTTCTTGGACACCAATTCTGTAGTTTTAAAAGAAATTTGATCTCAATGTTTCGTTCCCTGACCTAAAACTTGCTTTTGAAGACTGTATTTCCTTCACGACTTAGAATTATCTCCAAACACAAATCAATGAAAACTCAAACATCAAAAATAAATCTGCAGTTATCTCTAGTATTTATCTACATTTCTGAACAGCCTTTTTGGCAAAAGCTGATTCTCTACTTTTTTCTGTGTTGTTGGGTTGCTGTCTATTTGACATATATATATATACCTCAAAACCCCTTTAGATTATATTTGACATCTGTTTCAGTCACTATGATCTACCAATATCTTATGTGAATTTTTACCTTGGTTACCATTGCAATTACGTAGACAGTGGTAACACAATAGACCACTTTTGAGTTCGTTGCATTTCCGTCAAAAACTTTGGTTTTAGTGAACATCATTCATGCGTTCAGGAGCATCGTCACTTCCTTCCCATGTTGAGCAAGCGGTTGAAAAAAATATGACGCTATATTGCACGAATTATTTGGCAAATTAAATTCTAGTAATTGATAATCAGCACTGCTGTCATTAGGGAATTATGATTAAGTACTTAAAGGAATAAACATTATTTCTAGTTTATCCTGCATAATGATGATCACGAAGACGCTTGATGAACTTTAATAGTGCAGGGATACAGGCAATCTCCTCTATCTGGTAAATGACGTCATAAAGGCGCACATAATTGACGAACTTTTTCCTGTGAAGGACATAACTCGAAAGTGGTCTATTGAATTTTAAAACTTTGCAGAAAAACTTGACCTTTTATTTGTCAAAGGAAAAAAACAGACTGATTAGGCTTTTTGTTGTAGCTTCAACATTGTTAGATTCAGAAAAAAAATCAGCTGTTTTGGAATGATAATACACATACAAGAAAAAACCTGGATATAAAAATAACAACTTGTTTGGATGGTTTTTGGATTTGGTAGTAAGGTGAAGGTAGATTTATATTTTTGTTTACTTTAGTGAAAAAAAACACAGAAAAAGGTTAAATTTATATTATTCTGTTTATCTTCTCAGATAATGAATATCAGCTGTTTACTCATATTCTGGAAAGAAAAAGAAGATCACCATTTTTGTCATTGTTGATATCAATCTGATAAATGTAGATCTATTGTTAAAGTATGGTAAACATGGTAAATATAAATGATTGGTCCTTGTCTCCCTACAAAACAATTACTCTTTGACATATATATATATATACAAGTTTTTTTCATACAAAATTATGTCACATTTGTGTTTAAATTATTCTATATTTACTAACCATCAGATCCCTTTACATCTGTTACTATGGTGATATCATCAATAAAAACATTTGGTGTTGTATACAGTTTGACAGAGCGATGAATACCAGCATAGTTGAAGAAATCAAAAGGGATGTCTTGAACAAAATAGCCTGCTGGATATCTATAATAAAGTAATATTTTGTATGCACTCCATATCAAAATATAAATAAATGTGGTAAAAAAAGCATTTTAATTCATCTTCGAAACAATATAAGAGGCACTGGTGATCGTTGAAAACTTTCTCAGAGTGATATCTTCTGTGTGTAAAAAAATAAATACATATACAATAGATGGTCTATTTTGACTATGAAACACAATGAGATCAGCACATTGTAAGACATATTAGCATAGAGTCTTTTAAAGCATTATTTCTATAGCGTTTGGAAACTCCCAAAAATTCAAAAAGGAAGAAATTAAAAATCCAGCATTCCTGTTTGAAGTCATGTTCTCCATCCTATACAGGAAAAAACAATTATTTTTTAAAGGAACCATGGTCCTTCCTATAAAGTTTGATTCAAACTTGTCTGTAAAAAAGAAGAAAAATTGAAAATGAAAAAGTAAAAAGACATAAGAAGATGAATAAAGATTTAGTGATGGAAATAGTTCACATGCAGTTTATCAACAGAATTAAACTCATTTACAAAAATGAGTAGAAAAAGTAGTAGCAGACTAGTGTTAAATTTCAATAACTTTGCTATCAATGGTACAACCTTAATCTCAGTACATACAAATGATGAGACATGGAAATAAAAGGTTTTGTCAGAGTACATGTATGTTAAACTTGCCCTTGTCAGAGTACATGTATGTTAAACTTGCCCTTGTCAGAGTACATGCATGTTAAACTTGCCCTTGTCAGAGTACATGCATGTTAAACTTGCCCTTGTCAGAGTACATGTATGTTAAACTTGCCCTTGTCAGAGTACATGTATGTTAAACTTGCCTTTGTCAGGGTACATGTATGTTAAACTTGCCCTTGTCAGAGTACATGTATGTTAAACTTGCCTTTGTCAGGGTACATGTATGTTAAACTTGCCCTTGTCAGAGTACATGCATGTTAAACTTGCCCTTGTCAGAGTACATGCATGTTAAACTTGCCTTTGTCAGAGTACATGTATGTTAAACTTGCCCTTGTCAGGGTACATGTATGTTAAACTTGCCCTTGTCAGGGTACATACATGTTAAACTTGCCTTTGTCAGGGTACATGCATGTTAAACTTGCCCTTGTCAGAGTACATGTATGTTAAACTTGCCCTTGTCAGAGTACATGCATGTTAAACTTGCCCTTGTCAGAGTACATGCATGTTAAACTTGCCCTTGTCAGAGTACATGCATGTTAAACTTGCCCTTGTCAGAGTACATGCATGTTAAACTTGCCCTTGTCAGAGTACATGCATGTTAAACTTGCCCTTGTCAGAGTACATGCATGTTAAACTTGCCCTTGTCATAGTACATGCATGTTAAACTTGCCATGTTAAACTTGCCCTTGTCAGAGTACATGTATGTTAAACTTGCCCTTGTCAGAGTACATGTATGTTAAACTTGCCCTTGTCAGAGTACATGTATGTTAAACTTGCCCTTGTCAGAGTACATGTATGTTAAACTTGCCCTTGTCAGAGTACATGCATGTTAAACTTGCCAATCTGTTTTGTGTAATAAATCTCTACTGCAAAAGGACTCCTTTCTTATACAAACCCGTTTGCACTTTAGGTAGAGTGCAGCGTGTCATAGTACATATATTGTTAAACTCACCTCCCTGTATATTTTATGTAAATGACCTCTCCTAGAAACAGACTGCTTTATTAAACTAACCTGTTTGTATCTTTCATATAATGGATTGTCCCTGGAGGCAGAGTGCTCGGTGTTAGAGTATTGTTAACTGATACAGTAAGTCTGTTCACTCCATTAATATTCAATGAGGAATTGAGTTGAACTTCAAAAGGAAGATGGCCTCCAACATGACTTAAAACCTCTTTAGAATTTACCCACTGGAAAAAGTAAGATGACAGTGAATGCATGTAAAAAATTAAATGAATTAAAATACATATTTCTATTAGCATTGTAACAGAACAGACTAACATGACTAATGAAATAGAAAACATTTTTATGCAATATCTACAACAAAGATCAACAAACATCAATGTTGAGGAATGTAAATTATTCCCCTATATGTGATTTTTTGTTAAATTTTCATTATAGCAATACATTAAGTTGCATTCTATATAAAAATAAAAAGATGTGGTATGATTGCCAATGAGACAACTCACCACCAGAGATCTAGACTAAATAATGGATTCTTAGATGAGTTTCAAACACATTGATTCCAGAAAATTCAAAAGACTATTAATAAAAATTGATGAATAACATGAAAGTATCCCACATATCTTTATTTTACCTAATAATATGCACACAGATCTGTTTATCATGTTGCACATGTTTGCTAATTTTATTTACTTACCACAACAGTGTTATAATGAGCACTATCAAATCTTAAAACAACACGTTTCTGTTGCCATTCTACTGGAACAAAGAACTCGGTCTCGTACCAAACCCAACCAATAAAATCTCTCAACTTTCTATCCTGTGTTATATCATTGTAACTTGCTGGTACTGGCATAGGAATCACATCTCCTGTCTGTTGTAAAATAGATTATTGAAGTATCTGCATGTTTATCCATACTACTGACATGACTGATATATGGATTTATAAAAGTAGACATTTTTTCTGATAATTGGTCACATTATACTACAGCTCATATAATCTATACTTATTGTAATTGATTATATCTTTAAAAAGCCTCATATTATGATACATGCCAGCATTCTCCCCACAAATTTCATATAGCATTTGGGTCAACAGGGAATTTTAAAATACCATCTTATTTCTAGAAATTATAGCATCACATCCATAACACAATCTATAACATAATAATCTCAGATAGCATCACATTCAAGCAATATAGCATTACATTACCATGATGGTAAAAGGCCCTTGGGAGAACACTGCATGCCCTTAATTTGAAATGAAAATAGATTTTGGAATTCTCTGACTAAAGTACAAAGTATAGACCTTGACCTTGATGACACAAATTCCCATCCTATTTGTAATTTGAACACATCCTATCATGCTTGGCAACAATATCAAGCATCAAGAATATCCTTCATGGCTTTCAACTTTGTATATTTAAATATAGGGATTTAAAGTTGAACTTACAGTATGACCTTGAACTTGCAGACAGACATTTCGACCTTAATTAGGACATCCCCTCCATAGGCAGGCATGTAACAATCAGAACAATAATATCCAGTATCATTAGTACTCTTCAAGAGATTCAAAAGTTTCGAGTTGGACATATTTTTTTTTATTATGATTTGTGTCTTGAGAACCTAACAGACAGACATTCCAACTATGTACACCTTGGTGGTGGGGACTGATAATATCAAGTATCATTTATATCCTTCAAGGCATTCAAAATTTCTGTGTTGGAAACAGTTTTGTATTTATACTTGAATATAGGAATGTACTGTAAAGTTTGTTGTCCAGGGTACAACTTATACCTATAAAATTATTTATCCTGCAATCAACCTTCCTAATCTCCTATACAAATATAAGTGTACAGATAACATCAAGCCATATTTGTATAGTATAAGTAAATAGTCTGCTACTTCTCTTGTGTGAATGGCTAAGATCTAATTACTGTTTACGTCCATGTTGAATTTGGGGTCCTCATCGCTCATCACCCACTATTGTATTTTAAATGTCTAATTTGTAGTGAAGGCCACTGTAGCTGTTCAAGCATAATCTAAGACAGAGCTGGTATTGTGGTATCTATATTACATGTATAGCGATGAGTTCTGTACTATACCATTTCAATTAAGTTGATTTGTTGTTTTTTTTGTTGTGCTGGACACAGACACAAGAGTTGCACTCAAGCTTAGGTCTATTTTAAATTTTTATGTATGCCCTCTCTTTCATTTGTTTTGAAGATACTTCGTGTACTTTGAGATGTTACTTAAGGAAATTTAGCTGTCAATTTGCATGTAATGTTATTTCATCTGCATGGTTATTTTGCTATTTGGTCCAATTTTCATGGTGACGCCTAAATATTTTGTAACAACTTCTGTTTGAGTTTATAACCAAAACTCTGGGACATATTATATTTAATACTAGTATAACAGTCCTAGCATGACTCATGGACAAAACTTTTTCCTTATGAGACACTGCAGCGACAAATTTATTTTCTTTCAAAAACTCTCTTAAATACCAATTGTAAACATGATAAACACCTGTGACAGTGGTTGTGTATACCACTTTTTCAAGAAACCTTCGTTTCTTGTAGGAGACATGTCAGCTCTAAATTTCCACATGCCATTAATTTCAATTATAGTTCGAGTTTCTGAAAACCTCGGGTACAACATTCCTGATGCAGCAGCATTGTTAATAATTAATAAAGCGAAAAGATAGATTATCGTCGGCATTTCTCAAATTTTCTTCAGTCATGTGACATTTTCTTACAAGATCATGTGCACGGTACTGCTAAAATATGTCTGACTGACTACCGACTAATGTCAAAAAAGATAATCCTGTACAATTTAAGGGTTTGACACCGACCGTTCAGCTTTTTTTTGTAGGGCACATTTTTTAAAATGTTTTTATGAGGAAAAAAAATCCCCCATACACACACACACAATACACACAACCACACAACATTCTTTACCAATATTTCATGGTCCATATTTCATGCGGCGGCATGTATTCTATTGTGTCCAAATAATTATGACGACTTGAAAGACTATAGGAAGGCGTCACATCAAAACGTTAAAATAGCCTTTCAAGCCGTCATAATTATTTGGACTACATGTATCCATACAATACGGTAATTTCGCCAAAGTTTAATCAATTACCGTCGTTTCGGAGTATTCATACTGGGTACTCGGTAAAAGTGGTAACCCGAACCCGAACCCGAACCGGAATTTGCTGGAAATTTGCCGAACCGGAAATCTATTTTACATATATTATGCTCTTTGTATTTTGTTTTTTTCTACAAACGTGTATGCATTTGATGTATAATTAAATTTTATCTCTTGTATGAAAAGGTTTTTGTCTAAACATCACTAACAATGATAAATTTAAGGTTTATTAATTTCCACCTCGATACAAGTGGTAACCCGAACCTGAAAGTTTTTCTTAAACTAAACCTTAATCTGCCTAAGTATTTTAATTCGCTTTCTTATTTTATGTCCTGAATGTAATAATCTTTCATATTTTACTTAAAATTGTTCTTACAACTTTGCCGAAAACTTTTTATCGTGGAAATTCCAAAATATATGGTCGCCCGAACCCGAAAGGGAGACAACTCCATTTTGTATTTGTATCTTTATGACGCTACTGGTTAACTCGGCCTATACCAAATTCGGACCATAACTTCGGCCTATAATTGATGAATGTGTTTTCTGAATTATTATTTCTTTTTTTTTTTCTATATAGTTTTTGTTTTGCCAAATAGATAGAGTATTAATTGTCTTAGTTTATTGGCTATAATGTTGTTTTTTTTCATTTTTTTTTCATCAATTTATGAAAAAATAAAACATTCAGTATTTAATGGTTATGATACTTTGGTTAAACCTAATAAAAAAATAAATAAAAGATTCCCCCCCCCCCAGAAATCGTAATTATCTGTTTGTTTTATGACATTAATGTATTCAATTTTTTGTTGTTGTTTATTTTGAGATTTAAGTGTGATTCCTCGAATTTTTATGTTTAATGTATTTAAAACTTCTATAAAAATGAATTGCTTAATATATGCCGGTGATATTATTCTGTTATCCTCCACTGCAAAGGCCTCCAAGCTTAGCTTAAGATAGAGATAGTAATGGCTGGTATCTGACCTTTTACGGTAGAGAAATCTGGGTCACTGCTAATTCAAATACAGCAAGATTACTATCACCATACAATTTATATTCACATCTAATAAGCGAAAGACTGCATGTAAAGTTTTGTAAATATGTTATAGGCTACATAAAAATAGTAAACGGAAAAGTCACAAATCCCTAGAAAAAATTCACAGAAAAAAGTCACAATATATGATTGAGTAAAATTTGATATAAGATTTAAGTAAAACTATGTTGGAATGCACATGATAAATCATTATGTACATGTATGAAATAAACCGTCAAAATGTTTTTTGAATGCATGGTAAAAAGTTATAATACACTTGTATCAGATTAGTTATTGTAAAAGGTAGATTTTTAAATGTTTATAGGAAATATAAAAAAGAAGATGTGGTATGATTGCCAATGAGACAACCTGGTCATGTGCAGACCATATGACAATTTTCATACAAAAACTAATGTGACTTTTTTTCCTGAATTTATAAAAATACCGCCAACTTTCCTGTATTGACAGAACTTGGTTATTTCCCACTATGATTTTATAAAAAAATATTCTTTTATATTGGAACCGACTTGAGCATGTAGGCAAATTTCTCTTGCTACAGAATGCATATGAATAATTCCAGAAATTATACAATTAATGCAAATCGTCTTGATATGGATCACTCCAACGTATACTGCAAAATGTTCCGATTGTTACCATACCAAAAGGGGGATTTTATACCTGCTTTAACTATTATTAAAATTTGGGATAGAATGATTACACAGTTGCTATGCATGTCGTCATAGAACTTCTTGCACTATCATGCGAATATCAGTTATTGTGATCAAAGTAATAAAATGCAAAATGAAGACAAGTTGAGATATGCTTTTTGTTTTAATTTGTAAACCTGAGTTTTAGGGTATTTAATTATTTCTGTTATATATTAAAGAAGTCGTTCGCTTTGCAAGATGTATTATGTAGCTCACCGATTGTGCGACACCTCCATGGTAGAATTAGGACAATTAGGGCCATGGTATCAGCACTTTTTTACAGCATTTCTATGAGGAGTCCATAGCACTATTGCCTTCTTCAAGGCAAATTTTCAGTCTCTATTGATCACATAATTGTTTTCAGTGGAGGTTCAAATTTCCAATCCTTCTTCCTGGTCAGCCTACGTTGCTATAGTTATAGTTATTCGTTTGTTCTCGCAAAGGAATAGCACTTTTATTGCTGTTCTTCATCTTAGGTCAAAGTGAGGCCTTACACCAATTTTCTGCGAACTTCAATGTGATTTCTATTACATTTTACTTATAAACATACAAATTGTCTGAATAGGCATATTGAACAGTTCAACTGTTCCGATTCTATTTAAAAGCATTAAAAAAATTCTTGGAAGACTTCAATGACTTATTTTATTATTTTTTTAATACAATATTCATTACACTGGATTAACATTTGTTATACATAATTGGGAAATGTTATCTAAATAGAAAAGTGCTTTGTGAGTAAAATTGGTCATTAGGATAACCTCACAAATTATAATGGCATGTCCCATTCTATGCAGCATCTGAGCATCCCAATTTGAAGTGTCTCATAGTCATTGTACATATAAATGGTTGTCAATTCTCCCGAATTTGATTTTATTAGTAATTTAAACTTTAGGATATTTTTTTTAAATTATGTGTTCACCTAAGAAAACATATTTGTTTTATATTCTTTTCCTAAGACCACAATATCTTTCCTTTTTTTATTTATATTCTTTTCCTACGAACAATATCTTTCCTTTTTTGCTTTATATTCTTTTCCTACGAACAATATCTTTCCTTGTTTTGCTTTATATTCTTTTCCAACGAACAACATCTTTCCTTTATATATATGTTTGCGGCAATAAGCGAAATTAGGCATTAAGCTTAAATCATAGGCAATAAGCTAACGCCTAGGCATTAAGTTATTGTCTGAAATTTCAAGGCATTAAGCTTATTTCCTGAAATCTGATGATGATTATTCAGCCAATTGACTTACATCATTTCAGGCAATAAGTGAAATTTGAGGCTTTTGTTCTCATTTTCAGTTTAGGCATTAACATTAATGCCTGGACATAATTTTCAGGATTTAGACTTAAATCCTAGGATTAAAGACTAATGCCTAACATTATTTAGGCAATAACTTAATGCCTAGGCAGTTTGTTTTCTCGTTTGAATTGTTTCACATTTGTCATTTCGGGGCCTTTTATAGCTGGCTATGCGGTATGAGCTTTGCTCATTGTTGAAGACCATAAGGTGACTTATAGTTTTTAAAATTTGTGTGACATTTGGTTTCTTGTGAGAGTTGTCTCATTGGCAATCATATCACATCGTCATTTTATAAAAACGCCGCCGAATTGTAATACCTATGTCTCGCATTCTGCGACTCTCGTCATAGGCAAGCCAAAAAGCAAAGTAAAGATGTGCACAAAAGGGTATATAGTGGAACATAAATGTGCCCCTCTAATACACTGACACATGGAAATGTATATGTTAGATCATCTTTTAAAAAATTTACACTTGGAAAAAACACAATGAGATTACAAAGCATAACTTGAATCACACGCTGATAATTACAAACAAGAGTTGCAAATAAAAAACAAACAAACTACATGAGATTCTAAATATACAAATAAGAAGATGTGGTAGGATTGCCAATGAGAAGACTATAAATAAAGTTCTAATAAAGAGAATGAAAGCAATTATGGGCACCCACAAGGCCTTAAACAACTATAGGTCACCGTACGGCCTTCAACAAATGAGCCCTTTTTCGAAAATATAAGTCCAGCATCTTTATATTCATTTACTGTCACAATTTTATGATTATCAATATCAAATTTCAAATTCTTTGACAATCGACCTTTGAAACATCATATCTTTTGTTTTCTTCACATTTACTTTCAGTTTCCAGTGTTTAATTAAAAAAAAAGAAGTTTAGCATCATCTGTTAATCCTACAAGTTTCTGACATGAACATTGTATCATCAGCATACAGTAAAATAAACCATTAATTCATTTTCTGTATCTCTTTAATATAGTTCTAACCCTTTAGATTTTGTAGTTTCTAGAAAGTGTTGCAAGTTAAAAAATAAAGAAAACGAGATAGATTAGAGATTCTCCCTTGTCTTGCTCCTATATCACATACCAAAAAATAAGCCGGACTTTTCATTATTATAAACTATGCAAGATTTTGTATCTGATACATATTTTTACAACTCTAAAAAAAAATCCGGTTCATGTGGTTTTGTAGAAGTTTGAAATATAAAGAGTTTCTATGTACAAAGTCAACGGCTTTTTTTTCAAAATCTACAAACGCACAATAGTTGAAGTACTCCGTATTAATATGAAAGATGCACGAGATTTGCCTTTTAACTTTGAAGAATGAAACCGTGACACTTCGAATCTGTGTTTTCTGTGTTTCGTTGTAAATATGTAGTTTCAAGACTTTTCCAATCTGTTCTCAGATGTCCACTCTCCATTAATATTATCTTTAAATTTTAAAGATGGTATTGAGGAAGATGTGCATATTGCTGAGAACAGCGTGGAAAATGCAAGAGAAGTAAAACGGGTACAAAAATGGGATGCTGAGAAAAAGAATGAATTCGTAGAAT